TACCTGCTTGTTTCTTTTTTACATTTTCTCTTTCTGAGCATCTCATTTTGTTTGTATTGTTTTCTTGATACCATTAAATTGTTTACCTGTGTTCTCTTTTTATAGATCTCTGAGCATCTTTTTTTTTAAGGTTTTGGTTAAATTCTAGTTAGTTAACATATGGTGTAATATTGGTTTCAGAAGTAGAATTTAGTGATTCATCCCTTACATATAATGCCCAGTGCTCGTCACAAGTGCCCTCCTTAACACCCATCACCCATCCCCCCACCCATTTCCCTTCATCAACCCTCAGTTTTTTCTCTATAGTTATGAGTCTCTTTATGGTTTGCCTCCCTCTCTTTTTTTTTTCCCTTCCCCTATGTTCATCTGTTGTTTCTTAAATTCCACCTATGAGTGAAATCACGGTGTTTCTCTGACTGACTTATTTTGCTTAGCATAATACAGTCTAGCTCCATCCACATCGTTGCAAATGGCAAGATTTCATTCTTTTTGATGGCTGACTAATAGTCCATTGTGTATATATACACACCACATCTTCTTTATCCATTCATCTGTCAATGGACATCTGAGCTCTTTCCATAATTTGGCTGTTGTTGATAATGCTGCTATAAACATTGGGGTGCAGGTGCCCCTTCGAATCAGTATTTTTGTATCCTTTGAGTAAATACCTAGTAGTGCAATTACTGGGTCATAGGGTAGTTCTGTTTTAACTTTTTGAGGAACCTCTATACTGTTTTCCAGAGGGGCTGCACCAGTTTGCATTCCTACCCACAGTGTCAGAGGGTTCCCCTTTCTCTGCATCTTCGCCAACATCTCTTGTTTCTCGTATTTTTTATTTTAGCCATTCTGACAGGTATGAGGTGCTGTCTCATTGTGATTTTGATTTGTATTTCCCTGATGAGTGATGTTGAGCATCTTTTCATGTGTCTGTCGGCCATCTGGATGTCTTCTTTGGATAAATGTCTATGCGTATCTTCTGCCCATTTCTTAACTGGATTTTTATTTTTTGGGTGTTGAGTTGAATAAGTTCTTTACAGATTTTGGATACTAACCCTTCATCAGATATGTCATTTGCAAATATCTTCTCCCATTCTGTAGGTTACCTTTTAGTTTTGTTGATTGTTTCCTTTGCTGTGCAGAAGCTTTTTATCCTGACGAAGTCCCACTAGTTCATTTTTGCTTCTGTTTCCCTTGCTTTTGGAGACGTGTCTATCAAGAAGTTGCTGCGGTCAAGGCTGAAGAGGTTGCTGCCTGTGTTTTTCTCTAGGATTTTGATGGTTTCCTGTCTCACGTTTAGGTCTTTCATCCATTTTGAATTTATTTATGTGTATGGTGTAAGAAAGTGGTCCAGTTTCATTCTTTTGCATGTCTTGTTTTCCCAACACCATTTGTTGAAGATACTGTCTTTTCTTCCATTGGATGTTCTTTCCTGCTTTGTCAAAGATTAATTGACCATAGAGTTGAGGGTCCATTTCTGGGCTCTCTATTCTGTTGCATTGATCTGTGTCTGTTTTTGTCTCTGAGCATCTTTAGAAAAATTAATTTGAATTTTTTGTTGGAAATTCCTGGACATCCATTTCTTGGGGGTCAGTGACTGAGTTTTACTTTGGTGGAATCATGTTTCCCTGATTTTCATGATCCCTGTAGCCTTGCAAAGGTGTCTGTGCATTTGAAGAAGGAGTCACGTCTTCCAGACACTATGACCTGACTTTGAAAAGGGAAGAATTTCGCCTGCAGGTGGGGCATGCTGGAGCATCTTGGATCTTGGCGCTAGCGGTGCAGGGTGCCAAATGTGGGGCTGTGGAACTGCTCCAGGTCTTGGGGCATCATGATGTCTTTTTGCTCAGGCCTCTGGGGACCAGAGCTTTGACAGCTGTGTGGTCCTTGGCAAATACTCTGGAGGCCTGCAGTGGCTGTAAGGATTTTCAGTAGTGGCTCCAGGTCCAGGGGCTCGGGACCAAGGCAGGCAGTGGTGGTGGCCAGAACTGGTGGGGTGTACACATTTGGCTCTTCGGATCATCTGCAGGTTTCTTTATAGTGGCAGGGGCTGGTTGGAGACAACACCCATTGGTGAGGGTCAGGGTAAGCAGCAAGGGCCAGGCCAACTGTGGGTGCACGGGTGTCAGCATGTTCTCCTGTGGCTGCTGGGTCACACCACAGGGGCATGGCATTCAAGGCCAGTGACAGGTGTCAGGCCAGCAGCATGCAAATGCAACTGAAGAAATAGCCCGTGCATGGTGGGGCTCAGTCATGGGGCTCTAGGGGGGTGTCTTGTACTCATGCACCCACAGAAACCTGGGCTGGCTGACAGTGTGGGGCTGGAGAGGGACTTAGGCAGCCGGCATCAGTGAATACAAATACCTGCCTGTCTAAAGCTAGTGGAATCGGCTGGGGGGTCTGTGGCAGCTGTGCCGGGTACTGACTCCTTCTTCGGTGGCAAGAGCTGCCGTGTTTGTGTGCTGAGCAGCTCACTGCGAACAGGGATCTCTCCCGCCACATGGCTGCTATTGGCAGTCCATGTTTTTCTTCCTGGTTCAAGCCATCTGTGTCCATCTCAGCTTTGCTGTTCTGGGCAGGGTGAAATCGAAGTGGGACCTTTATTCAGTGCCCCAAAGCCTGGGGAAGCCTGTTGCTCACTCTGCTCTTCCTTCCTGATGAGGGAGGGGACGCTTTCTAGCTGGGAAGTTTCCTCTTGGTGCTGAGCAACTCCAGCTGCCGATGGGAGGAAGTGGGGAAAGTGAAGCTGTCTTCCTTCTCTTTTTGCGTGGTTATTCTCAGGATTTTTGTTTCACAGTGTTGCTGAAGTTTCTTCAATGGACTCCAGAGCTCTCCCAGAGCTGTTTTTGTTCATGGACACCTGTCTTACTTATAGATCTTTGCTGGGGGCAGAGGCAGGGCTTCCCTACAGTGCCATTTTGGTGAATTTTTAAAACTGAAATGTGTGACTCCTCAGTGGCCAGACTCTAGGCAGCACACTAGAATCAGCTGGTGGGGTGGGATGGGGGGCTTTTAGTAAATATTGATCTCTGGGACCACCCTAGACTAATTAAATCAGAGTTTCTGATGATGGAGCCTCAGCCAGCAGTGAAGAAGCTCCTCAGGTGAATCTAAAGTGCAGCTACGTTAAAAGGCGTTCTGGGCAATGTTGGGGACTGCCCAGACACAGCACAGGCATAGAAGTGATGAGAGGAAAACCGAAACCCAGCATCAGGATGTGGACCTAGAGTCAGACTTGAGATACGCCTGACCCAAAATATAGCCTGTGTTGCTGGAGAATATCTGCCTATCTATCTGCCTATCGGTGTCAGAATCTCTGTTAACCTCAGAATGTTCAATAAAAAGGACAGCATTACCAGGCTTACTACTGTATACTTTTATATCGATACAGTTATTAAGCTATTTAAAATTCCTTTAGTACCAATGCTAAAAATCTTTATTTTGAATAGTTAATAGACTCTGCCTCACCATTTTACCAGTTAAAATGCATTTTGCATATGAAGTTTTCAAATCATGTGGCCACTCCTGGAAAAACATGACCTTTTCAATAAAAACATAACCTATTAATAAAGTCAGTATTTCATTTGTCAGGCCCAGCATAGCTGTGCCTATAACTGGTATATGAGTTATCTTGTCTTTTTTAAGCCCAATTTCTACAAGCATCTGTTGTATTAGTAAAGAACTACATCACCATGCTAAACCATTCCTCCAGAGAGTCAACCAGTACTAGAAAAAACTTGCCAAATTGATAATCAACTGACGTAATTCATTTTTAAAAGAAAGAAAAAGACAAATGAAAAAAAAAACATGAAGAGAGGCAACATAAATGCAATTGTGTTTTTAAAAATTAGAATCGGGGCTCCTGGGTGGCTCAGATGGTTGAGCATCTGCCTTCGGCTCAGGTCATGATCCCAGGTTCCTGGGATAGAGCCCCACATACATCGGGCTCCCTGCTCAGCGGGGAGTCTGCTTCTCCCTCTGCCTCTGCCTGCCGCTTCCCCTGCTTGTACTCATGCTCTCTCTCTCATAAAAAATTTAAAATCTTTAAAAAAATAAAAAAAAATAAAAATCAGAATACAATTTGGAAAGGACTATCAAGCATTTAAATATCAATGGAGCAAAAAATAAAAAGAATGAACAACCAATAGGTGAACAAATACTGGAAATATTTTTAGAATTTTAAAGGTCCATCAATAATTTAAAAAAATGTTTATGTGTCTAAAAAGAACCATTTGACCAACTTTGAGATTATTTTAGTGGGCACAATTTAGAAGTTTTGGTGGTACTAGTAGTACTGATTTTATTCTGCAGTAACATACTAAGTCAATTGTCTTTTTTCTTTTTTTAAGATTTTATTTATTTATTTGACAGAGAGAGAGACAGTGAGAGAGGGAACACAAGCAGGGGGAGAAGCAGGCTTCCCGCTGAGCAGGGAGCTTGATGCGGGGCTCAATCCCAGGACCCCTGGGATCATGACCTGAGCCGAAGGCAGACGCTTAACAACTGAGCGACCCAGGCTCCCCCTAAGTCAATTGTCTTAAGAGATACATTGTTTAAAGGATAAAACTCTAACATCAGATTTGATGAACTTAAATTTTTTCTTAATTCTGTATTATCATATATGTGTTAAAAACAAACTAATTGCTATAGCCTAGCGTAAGGGAGGCAGCATTGGACTGGATTTTAGGATACCTATTATTTACACTTGACTCTTCCCCCCATTGGTAGCTCTACTCCCAATGGTATACTTGAGGAGGGTCCCTCTGTGTAGGAATGCTTAGATAATCATTAGTATGTACTTCCTGTTTGAGTTCCATAAACTCATCTGCTTATAAGTGAGACCCCAAACTTCATAGGCTTCTTTTTTGTCTGCTGTTTAAATACAGTGCAGGCATAAAGTTTTCATGAAAATTGTCATAATAATGTTTAGTTACAGTGTTGTAATCATGCTATATTAACATAGGAAATTATCACTTGTTTCTCAATTGTTTATTGAACTGTAGGTGGCAGAAAAGAAAGAAATTAAAGAATATTTTGAGTCAAACCTCTCTGAAGATGACACAGTACATTTCAAGCTGCCTAAATATCGACGTTTATTAGAAACAATTTTGAGGTTTCTGCTGCTGGTTGACTACATATTTCAGGAATTCATCCATCAACTAATGAATACTGCAATCACACTACTTTTGGAATTATTTAATAATTCTGCTAGAATGCCATTTTCAATGGAAAAAAGGAATGAAGATCTCATTAAGTAAATCACAATTTTTTGACTTATAAAAGGAATTTATGATCATAATGTAATATATTGTCACTTATGGAGGAAATACCAATAATTTAAGCTAGAATTTGAAAATTCTCCTCATAGCAAATTATATGTGCTCAGTTTTTGCAATTATCTGAACTTCTTATCTGGTAATACTTTCATTAATACTATGCATAAAATATAAGAAAATTTCCTTCCCCCCTAAAAATATTCTGCATAGGTTAGGTTGCTATGTGCAGTATATGATACCCAGTGAAATTTGAAATTCAGATAATGAATAATAGTGTAAGTATGTCCCAGATATTACCTATACTAAAAATGATTGGAATTCAGTTTTAATTTGGTGTTCTGTTCTGTATTAATCTGCTAAATCTGGCAATCCTATGTATAGGTATGCTGTATCTTCAAAGTTCAGAACTAGGTTTTTTTTAAAATTTAATTTAATTTTATTATGTTAGTCACCATACAGTACATCGTTTTTGATGTAGTGGTCCATGATTCATTGTTTTTGTATAACACCCAGTGCTCCATGCAATACGTGCCCTCCTTAATAACCCATCCCCCCACCCCTCTCCCCTCTAAAACCCTCAGTTTGTTTCTCAGAGTCCATAGTCTCTCATGATTTATCTCTCCCTCCAATTTCCCTCCCTTCATTTTTCCCTTCCTTCTCCTAATGTCCTCCATACTATCCCTTATGTTCCGCAAATAAGTGAAACCGTTGACTTTCTCTGCTTGACTTATTTCACTTGGCATAATCTCCTCCAGTCCCATCCATGTTGATGTAAAAGTTGGGTATTTATCCTTTCTGATGGCTGGGTAATATTCAGAACTAGTTCTTAAAAAATCATTTGTAAGAATGATTCTGGAAGTAGCCAGCCACAAGGTTCAATTGGAATTTGAGGCAATTCCAAGTATCTATTGAAAACCAAATATTTTCACCTTTTTAAAAAAAAAATTATTGGGGCGCCTGGGTGGCTCAGATGGTTAAGCGTCTGCCTTCGGCTCAGGTCATGATCCCAGGGTCCTGGGATCGAGTCCCGCATCGGGCTCCCTGCTCGGCTGGAAGCCTGCTTCTCCCTCTCCCACTCTTCCTACTTGTGTTCCTGCTTTCACTGTGTCTGTCTCTGTCAAATAAATAAATAAAATCTTTTAAAAAATTATTTATTTGCGAGAGAGAGAATGTCTGCACACTCACAGAGAGGGAGAAGCAGACTCCCCACCCAGCAGAGAGCCTGATGTGAGGCTCGGTCCCAGGACCCTGAGATCATGACCCAAACTGTAGGCAGACACTTAACCACCTGAGCCACCCAGGTGCCCCCTATTTTCACCTTCTATTTAAATACTACTGTTAATACTTTTTTCTTACTTACCACAACTGGATCTATCGCTGTAATTTGTAAACCATGGAATATGAATTGACACTGTAGAATACTTTATGTTCAAACTGTCAAAGTTTAGCAATATCATTTTAAGTCAAATCAGAGTTTCAGTATCATAACTAGAGAGCGAAAAATAAATTCATAACATTTTGAAGATTCTTAAAGATAATATACTCTTTCTCTAATTTGTTATTGAATCCAGCAGAGCTTAAATCACTTTTCTAAGGCCTCATAAGTACTTTGAGTCAGTGCTAGGACTTTAACCTATATAAGAGCACAATATTTAGTAATAGCACATTATAATTTTATTTCTCCTAAAACTACAGGTTTGTGTTTGTGTGTTTAGAAGTTTTGAATTTTGAACATAATTTTTAAAAAGATTATTATAGTTAATTCATCATATAATAGAAAATTTGGAAAACAGAAATTACCCTAATCCATCACTTAAATACAGTGTCTTATTATTTTGGTGTAATTTCTCCTAGACTTTTCCTATGTATTTTTCTGTTGTAATCCTAGTGTACTATTTCATAGTTCATTTAAAAAATACAACATGTCTCATATATATATATATATATTTAACGTTATAGGAGGAATACGTGTGTAGTGGTTCAAGTACATGTGTTTTTGGAGTCATACCGTCTGGGTTTTAATCCCTGTTTCATCTCTGACATGATGTGTGACTTAGGTTAGCTAGTAATAGTAAGCTAGGAGACATAAATTCTTTAGACTTCAGTTTCCTCATGTGTAGACTAGAGATAACAATAATACCTATGTCATAATGTTGTTTGAGAATAAACAGAGTAAATGCCTGCTAAGTAGGAGCTATCATTATTTAATCTGTTTCCATTGACCTTCTTAACAGTATTGGTTTGTATTTCCATAATGACTAATGATGTACATCCTTTCATATGATTATTGGCTATTTGTATATCTTCTCTGAAGAAATGTCTTTTCATGTCCTTTGTCCATTTTTAAATTGTGTTATTTGTCTTTTTATTGTTAAGTTCTAATGAGTTTTTAAAATATGTTTTGGGTACAAGACCCCTATTATTGACAAATAATAGATTATTTGCAAACATTTTCTCCCATTCTCTGGGTCATCTTTTCACTTTCTTGATAGTATCCTTTGGAGCAAAAGTATTTAGTTTCGGAAAAGGCCAATTTATTTTTCCTCTGATTGTACTTTAAGTGTTGCCTAATGCAAGGTCATGAAGATTGATACCTATGTTCTAAGATTTTCAATTTTAGCTCCTACATTTAGATCTTTGATCCATTTTGTTTTAATTTTTGTATACAGTGTGAGATAAGGGTGTAAATTCATTTTTTTTCCTATATGAATGTCCAGTTGTCCCAGCACTACTTGTTGAAAAGACTGTTCTTTCTCCATTTAATTGTCTTGACACTCTTTTTGACAGGCAGTTGACCACGGATGTATGGGTTTATTTTTGGACTCTAAATTTCATTTAGTTGATCTGTATGTCTATCCTTATGCTGGTACCGCACTGTCTTGATTCCTGTAGCTTTGTAGTAAGTTTTCAAACTGGAAAGTGTGAATCTTCCAACATTGTTCCTTTTTAACACGGTTTTGGCTCTTCTGGCTCCCTTGCATTTACATATGAATTATAGAATAAGATTGGCAATTTCTGCAAAAAAAAAGGCAGCTGGGAACTTACAGGGATTTCATTGAATCTGTGGATAAATATGGGGAGCATTTCCATTTTTATAGTATAAAGTTTTCCAATCCATGAATGTGAGATTGTCTTGCCATTTATACAGGTAGTCTATTTTTTTTAAAAGATTTTATTTATTTATTTGAGAGAGAGAGAGCCCAAGAAGGGGGGAGGATCAGAGGGAGAAGCAGACTTCCCGCCGAGCAGGGAGCCCGATGTGGGACTCAATCCCGGGACTCCGGGATCATGACCTGAGCCGAAGGCAGTCACTTAACCAACTGAGCCACCCAGGCGCCCCAATTATGATTTAAATTTTATCTCCATATTAGCATATATTTGTAAATCTTCACTTTTCCATAAAAATGCTTCATTTTTTTATTTCCCCCAATTAAGAGTAATAGAATATTTTTACTTTTTCATCTTGCTGAAATGAGACATACGATTTTTTTATTATAGTAAAATATAAGTAACAGAATTCAGTATCATTAAGCACATTCACAGTGTTGTGCAACCATCACCATATCCATTTCCAGAACATTTTCATCATCCTAAACTGGGACTCTGTGTGCAGTGAACAGTAACAATTCATTCCCTGTGCATGGCCCCCGTCCTTCCACCAAGCCCTCGTGACCTCTAATGTACTTCCTGTCTCTCTGAATTTACCTATTCTAGGTACCTTATTCAGTGGAGTATTCATACCTTATTTGAACTTTGTATCTGGCTTATTTTGCTCAGTATAATGTCTTCAAGGTCCATTCACGTTGTAACACGTATAAGAATTTCTTTCCTTTTTAAGGCTAGATAACATTCCAGTATGTATACACCACGTTTTATTTATTCATTCCTCTATTGATGGACATTTGGGTCATGTTTACCTTTTGCTATTGTGAATGATGTTATCATTTCTGTTTCTTTTGTTGATATGCCCGGAGTTGGAGTTGCTATATCGTATGGCCATCCCACATGTACCTCTCTGAGGAGTGTCCGGCTATTTTCCACCGTAGCTGCTCTAGTTTGATTCCCACCAGCAAGCACCAGGGTGCTAATCCTCAGCAACAGGATTACTGAGAGATACTTTTAGAAAATAGGAGCCATCCTAATTGTTGTGAAGTTATATCTCACGGTGGCCTAGATTTGTATTTCCCTAATGATGAGTGATGCTGAGCATCTTTTCTTGTACTGATTGACCACCTGTACATATCTCCTTTGGAGGAATGTCTAATTATTGATGTGTTCTGGATATTAATAAGATATAAAAGTTTGGAAAGGCTATGTTTTTTTTCCTTCTTATTTCTTTAGAATATACAAGAATGTCTTCTCTGTCACTGAAAAGATAACAGATGATTACGAAGAATTTGTTGATAATTCAAACTTATGTGCCACTTCTGTTTTAAAGTCAGAAGTAAAAACGGAAGCAGATATTAATGAGGTAAAATGGTCTTTGAAAAATATAAGCATAGATTTTTTTATGCAAAATGAATAAGTTTGGAATTAAAAATATGATTTATGATTATTCACAGTCTCTTGCACACGCACGCACACACACACACAGACATCCCTCCCACTGTAGAAAGCTGTAATTACAGGTACCTCAGTTGGTTCATTTGTTCATGCGTTATTGAGTACTTATTATTTACCAGTCACTGAGCGAGGCACATACAGCAGTGGGCAGAACACGTCCCTGACCTCTTGGAGTTTATATTCTGCTAAAAGAGACAGGTAGTGAAGCCGTGAGTGCCATGAAGAAAAGCAGAGGAAGATAAAGGAATGGAGAGTGACACTGTACGCTACTTCACGTGGAGTGCTCAGGAGAGACCACCCTATCGAAAGTAGCAGCTACCCCCTTCGGCCCCCACTACTGTATACCTCTCACTCTTTGCTGGCTTTCAGAGTACTTTTTTCGTTGTTATTAACTCAAAAATGACACAAGACAAATACGAGAAATCTTGACAGAATCCTAGAAAAACTTTAATTAGGAAATCTTTTCTTGCCAGGAAGAATTGTATCCCACCCCCCTAATATTTTATTGAGATTAAACTTTATGTGCTAGATGCTTGTCCTAGTTGGTAAAAGCAGCATTTTTATGAGATAGCACTGTATAATATGTATACTTTACACATTTTTTCCTTTAAAAAATATTTTAGGTAGATTTGGTAACAAGGGAAAATGTCTACATTTTTTATTTTCATTTGTATTTCTCTTATTACTGGTATATTTTAAAATATATGTTATTGGAAATTTTTGCCCATTAATCTCCTGGATTGATTTTTCTTATTATTTTGTAGGAATTCTTCATGTCTATATTGCAGTTATCTTTTCCTACTAGATGGCTTGTTACTTTTATTCCCTTATGATGTATTATTATCAATAATTCTTTTTTTAAGATTTGTTTATTTGAGAGAGAGAGAGTACAAGCAGGAGTGGGGGCAGAGGGCGAGAGAGAGAGAGAGAGAAAAGCAGACTCCCGCTGAGTGTGGAGCCTGACATGGGGCTCAGTCTCATGACCCTGAGGTCATGACCTGAGCCGAAATCAAGAGTCAGACGCTCAACTGACTGAGCCACCCAAGCACCTCTATTACCTATAATCCTTAATTTCAGTGTAATTGATTTTATCGGTCCTTTTATTTGTATTCGTGTTTGTAATTATTTACCATCCTGAGTCATAAATATATTCTTCTCTATTTTCTTATGAAAGCTTTGGAGTCTGTCCACATTTGTCTCTAAATCTGTGCGTAGTGTATGTTAGGGTTCCTTTTTGTTTATTTTATGAGTGACTGTTGCTCAGGCACAATTTCTTTACATCCCTTCCCTGCTGATCTGCACAGCAGCTCTTTCTTTATCATTTATCATATGTCTCCATACACATGTCTTCTCTTTCCAAACTGTTACTCTGTCCTGTTGATCTACTTTCCTGTTACTGTGCCGATCTCACACCAGATTAATGGTATAGCTTTGAATTAAGTCTTCTTTTCTAAGAGAGTCTTGTCTTTTCTCAGCTGTTTGCATTTCCATATACATTTTAGAATCAGACCCTATTTGGATTTTGATTGAAATTGCCTAGAAGGTGGGGAGAGTTAATATTTTATGATACTAAGTCTTCCCACATGATTGTACAATTTATTTAAGTCTTCTTTAATGTTTTTCAATGTCTTTTATAATTTTCTCCATAAAAATCTTGTGGGTTTTTTTGTTTTGTTTTGTTTTGTGGATTTAGCCTGTGTGCTTTATAGTCCCAGCCCATACTCTCAGGGAATTGCTTCTACTACTTCTTTATGAACACTTCAGAATAGAAATATTTTTAGATAAAAATATATGCACTGCTTTAATTTTTTTCCTTAGGATTAACATTAAATCAGCACTGTGGACCTTTTTATGGCTTTCCATTTGCATTGCAGAATTTCTCTTTAGACAAGGTCACACCAATTTCTATTAAAGACTGCCTTTTAAATGTATACTATTTTATACTTGCTGTTGCTTATTGATAACTGAAATCTGGGATTAACTGGTCTTAATTTTTGTGTATTACTCATAATCTTAGATATTTTTCTTATGCTCATTAGCCATTTGTATTTCTCATTTTTATGACTTTTTGGTGTTCTTTCCCATTTTTCTGATGGAGTTTTTTTTCTTACTGAATCACAAAACTATTTATAAAATACAGACCATAACCATTTGTTAGGCCATGAAAATATAAATCTTCATGCATTATTTTTTGTGCATTCTTCAATCCACCCTCCATAGTTCACAGTAAATTTTTTTTGAAATATATTATTGGTTACTGGAATATACATGTTACAGTTTGCATAGGGTCACAGTGCTATGCTGCATCTGTACATTTTCTCACTCAACATTATGTTGTCAAGACTCGTGTCACGTATCGGTGGGTCTGGGTCCAGATCTCACAGTGATGTGCCACCAAATGCCCTCAGTGTGGGATGTGTCCCCCAGCTACTGAAAGTGTTGTCAGCAGATAGCCTTTAGCTGTCTGCTTTTTCGGAGATGGCTTCAAGTGCAGCCCCCTTGTTCAAGGTCATGCCCCTTTTTGGGGGAGGCCCACATGCAATGAACAATTGTTACAAGGGTATAAAAAACTCTGAAGGGCCATTCCCACTCCTGAGCTCCCATGGCTTGGCTAAGCCTGTGGTTGGCCTGTATAACAGCTCAGCCTTCCCCTCTACCCACCCTGCTTGCTTTCTCTCCCTTCCACATATGTTGACCTAGGCACATTCCTTAGTGTTTACATCCTGCCTGTCTCAAATTGGCTTCCCAGGGAACCCAATCTATGACAGTATGTACAAACAGAAACACACACACACACACACACACACACATAATTTACGTTTCTGATTGTTACACAGTATTCCCACTTTTCTTCTTTGAATTGCATATTGATACTTTTGAACATTTTTTCTATTGGGTTTCTTACTGATTTTTAGGACTTTTTGTGTATTCCAGATATTGATTCTTTGTTAATTTTAGACTTTGTTAATATTACCTCTTAAGTTTGTCCTTGTCTATTAATCTTAGGTATAGATCTTTGGTAATAGAAATTCTTTTTTGATATTTTAAAATTCAACACTGATTCTGATTTTCCAGTTTGCTTATGAGTAGATTTGATGTAGACAGCGTTGTGATCCTGGCATAAATCCTGTGTGTCCCTGGTTCCACTTTTGCCCCACAGCCCTGATTGTAGCATCTCTCTCATACTCTGCCCTCTAGTATCTGACCTTGGTTCTCTCCTATTTTTGCTAAACTCATGTTGGTATGGACTGAGTTTTTGAGCACATTCTAATATCTAGTCCAAGAAAAGATAGATAATCCGGGCACCTGGGTGCCTCAGCTGGTTAAGTGTCTGCCTTCAGCTCAGGTCATGATCCCAAGGTCCTGGGATCGAGTCCCGCATTGGGCTCCCTGCTTAGCGGGGAGCCTGCTTCTCCCTCTCTCTCTGCCCCTCCCCCTGCTTGTGCTCTCTCTCTCTCTCTCAAATAAATAATCTTAAAAAAGATAATTATTTTATTTGGGATGTGTTGAGTCAGAGGTACCTTGGGCAACCAGGTGAAAATATTTCTATTAGGATTTTGGAAATCTAGATTTGAGTCTCAAGAGAGAGCAGGGCTAAAGTGGGGGAGGTCCCCACTTCCCATTGCATACTGTAGAATTTAGATGTAGCTGTTTCTCTCTTGTAATGTACAGTCTTGAGGAAATCAGACTATTAGCTGAGATCCATTCTTGTTGGCACAAAAAAAGACACCCAAAAAATTTATTACAAAAAGATTTTCAAGCCCCACTTCATATTTTAACTGTGGGCTTTGGAGTCACAGACCCATAACAAACTTTAGCCTTAACTACATGCTAGCAATATAGCCTTTGACAATATAAGCTTCCCGAGTCGGAGTTTCTTTTTATGCATAGTAAGAGTAATAATTTCTTCCTCAGAGTTACTGTGAAGATGAGGTGAAGGTAACCTGTTTACTATAGTGCCTAGGACATGATAAGTACTCATCAAATTGTAACTGTATCAAATAGTATAGTATGCTATGAGTATACTGTATCAAGTAGTAAGTACAGTACACATATTTCAAGAATGAGTCTATGCAAAATATGTATGTACTATAATATTAGAAGGTGTGTAGGGGTTGAAGTCCAGTCATTATCAGAATTAGAGGTTATTTTCCAGAAGAAGCTACATAACACATTATATATTTGTTTGGAATTGTCTGTGAACTTCTTTATTGTGATAAAATGTACATAATGTACAATTTACCATTTTAACCATTTTTACACATAAAATTCAGTGGCACTATGACATTCACAATGGGGTGCATTATCAGCACTATCCATTTTGCAGAAGTTTTTAATCATCCCATAGAAACTTCCTATTTATTTGTGTGGAACATTTAAGGATTGCATATCACCTTCAGCATCTACTCAGGCTCTTTCCCCAGCAGCTTAATAGGGTGTTAATGGTGTTTGTTTATACTGTTAACTGCCTTTATTTATAAATGAATGGTCGAGGTTCTAACAGGCAACCTAGCTGACCACTGAGAAACATTGGGTGCCTCCAGAACAATGGATTTTATGTGGGCTCTGAGGGATCCATTCATTAGTGGAGAACCCATGCCGAGAGAGCCTGAGGGCAAACACATTGTATAAGTAAGATATTTATACGTAAAATACTCTGGTTATTTCTCGGTAGAGATGGATACCCCTACTAGGATATGTATGTTAAAGTGAGGAACTAGCATCTATAGAAATGGATTTGAAGTATATTCCTGATTCGTCATTCTTAACATGGAGTACACAGTAAAGTCTCCTGCTCAGCTTTTAAATGATTCAAATTCTTGGTATAAAATTGCTCAATCAATATACTGTGACCTGAAACAAATATAACATTGTATGTTAATTATACTTCAATTAAAAAAAAAAAGATTCTTGGGCCCTGCCCCTGACCTTTTAACTCATAATCTCTGGGGATAAGGCCTAAGAATTTGTATTTTTAATAAGCTCTCAGATGATTACTATGTAGCCACTCTGGCATTAATTTACAGTCTTCTGGGGGAGACTACTGCATTATAATGTACCTGTGTTTTACATTAACTTATTTTAACATGCAAACGTCAGTTATGTGGTAACATAATGTTATTCAGTTATACTGAAGTTATTACTGGTCATTTAAAAGTTAGAGCTGTATCATTCTAATTTAAAGGAATGTTCTTTCAGTTAGAACTGTCATCCTAACGTGTCTGTTCATTAGATTTTGAATAGGATTAAAGTGGATGAGGATTTGAGAAAAATATATGCACCAGTATTTGAAGTAACTCTACACTTGAGCATTCCCGAAGAGAGTGAGTCTTCAGAAATTTCCACAGAGAACTCTCGTGAGTCTGACAAGTCCTCCGAAGAATCCGAGTTGTGTGAAGAAGATGAGGCATCAAAAAATGAAGTCGGGTGTCTCATGAAATACTCCAGTAAAGAACTGCAAATAATGAAGAAACCAAAAAAAGTCTCTTCCAACTTCGAAGGAATTCTTTCAGGTAAGATGAAGGAGACTATTAAGAAGGAAGGAAAATGTCCTAACAGCTGGAAAAGACAAATGAGATAAAATTATAGTAGTTTATATATGACCCGTGACTAGGTTGTAAATGTTAAGAATGCTCAAAGTGAGCATAAACTTAGATCATTTGTGGTGCGTGTAATAACACCATCATTCATTTTGGTCTCAGTACTCACACCATTTCTTACGGGACCCGGGGACTCCCTCTGTGAGGATGAACACCACCTGGGATGCTTGTTAACAGTTCAGGCTCTCGGACTCCCATCAGGATCTGGGGGTGAGGTGTCCTGCTGGAACACTACCTTTTAGATGACCTTTCCAGCTTATTCTTAGGTGTTTGGGAACCACTGACACATGTCAGTTGATCATTTAGCTGGTTTAAATACCAATCAGTGTTTTATTCTCTCTTTTTTTCAATGGATTCTTACAGACATAGAAATCATGACTGAGTTCGAGAATAAATACATATATGATGAGTAAGTAGTCGACATTTTAAAAATTACAAGTAATTATAATTTCTGTTAGTTACTGCATTTTTCTGAAATAAGCTTTTATTTTCTCAGATTTTCAGAATTTGCTACAAATCTCTTCTTAGCTCCCAACAGATTAGAGTTTTCAATAAAAATTCAAAATATGGTGACTGACATTGAAAAATGTATAAGTAAGTATTTTAAAAGTTTAGCTAGATACATTGTCTCCTTTGGCAATATTTTTTTGGTGGAGACATTTGATGCTTATATCCAGAGATGTGGCACACACTACAGTGTACCAGGAGATCAGAAATTCCCAGACTTTGGGATCAGTGTGAACTTGGGATTATTTGAGGATGTGTGAATTACACGTACAGCCATAAAGTGCATAAAAGATGGGCATTAGGAAAACAGCCTAAGGTTTGGATTTTTTCAATGATATGCTACAGAATTTTATGAGACTTAAATAAGACATATAGCATAAGATTCTGTTTCCATCTTAAACAGATTTTTATTAATTCTTTTCTAGCTATGTGTATACAATCTGAAATTACATGGCTATTACTAGCCCAACCAATGAATTTATGCCTTCTCCATGATCTAAGTTTTATAAAGATCTTAAAATAGCAGGACCCTTGTCAACTCTTGAAATGTTTATATTTCCTCTTGTTATTAATAAATTTGGGGAGAGATGTCTTGAGATGGTCAGATATCTTTGTTTCTTCTGTTTTGCCCACTAATTTTAGCATTTATTTGTGGATCTTGCCACTAATTAATTAGTGGATCCATTTCTTTATTCAGTTATTTATATAGATATGGATTCACTGATCTGTGTACATATTCATGTATGTACATCATGTGTACATACATGTGTGTGTGCGTATATATTTACCTGAGAAAAAACAAAACATCTTGATCACCCCATTTCAGCCACCCTCATGTAACAGCTATTTGCATTTTGCATTTTTACTTTCATTGGCATACATTAGTGAAATTATATTTAAAATATTATCCCTTAGCATTATATTGTAGACATTTTCCACATTGCTGCATATGCTCTTATAATTGTCACTTAGATGGCTGTGCGATAATATGTTGAACCATGAGTGCAAAGTTAAACATGCTTGTTACTGCATGTGGTCATGCCGTTGACATCTGGTGCACAGCTTGTGGCTTCCATGGGACATTCTCACAGAGTAATTGCCTGAGATTGAAACTGATGGGTCTAAAGTCTTCCTCTTACTGATTTGTGGTTCCTTTGGATTAAGAAAGTGAATCCTTAATGTTTAATATGAGTTTTAAGAAAAATAAGCAGGTCGTTTGGCTTGATTTTATGGTGATATTTTTGCCATGCAGAACATTATTTTTATAGTATAACATGTGCAGAGCCTTTTAGAAGAGGCTCCAGGATGTGGTGCCCTAGTTACACAGGCTTACCCAGTGACCACATCATAAAAACATTCTCCTACTTGTCTTCTAATTCTATTATGATTTCATTTTTATGCTTACATATTTGATTGCTCTAACATTTATTTGGCACATGTGGACTTGCAATTTTTGCCCAGATGACTGATGATCTGTCTGTCCCAGTACCAGTCACTGAGTAATCCATTCCTCACCCTCACTGGTTTGAAATGCCACTTTTATCATTTATTATATTTTAGTATGTTTCTTTATTTATGGACTATATAGTAGTCTGTCTGTAACTCATGAACAGTACCATTCTGTTGTAATTCTGTAACTTCTTTTCTCCCCCAGGAATGTCCTAGGTTCACTGATACTTGTTTTCATCTGGGGAGTATAACAGAGTATTACTGTTACTTATTTTGTTGTTGAAATTGTCTGGCTTTGCTTTTGCAGAACAGTTCTTTCCAAATGGGTCCTGTGCCCTCACCCTTTGTTGTGATCGCTGTAGCTTCTGGGGCCATGGCACACCCCAGGCCACTCTCGTGCTTCTCTGCCTCAGCCCTGGGGCGTGCCTGTTCCTTGTGGGGGTGGCGCTGCTGTGAGGCCCGCAGTGAAAGGAGCTGGGGCAGGTCTGTGTCACACATGGAAGGTCACGTCAGCATCACTGCTCTGTACATCCTTTTTTTTTTTTTTTAAAGATTTTATTTATTCATCTGAGACACAGAGAGAGAGAGAGAGAGAGAGAGGAGAGAGCCTGAGCAGGGAGAGAGGCAGAGGGAGAAGGAGAAGCAGGCTCCCCGCCGAGCCAGGAGCCTGATGTGGGGCTTGATTCCACGACCCTGGGACACAGAGAGAGAGAGAGAGAGAGAGAGAGGAGAGAGCCTGAGCAGGGAGAGAGGCAGAGGGAGAAGGAGAAGCAGGCTCACCGCCGAGCCAGGAGCCTGATGTGGGGCTTGATTCCACGACCCTGGGATCATGACCTGAGCCGAAGGCAGACGCCTAACCATCTGAGCCACCCAGGTGCCCTGCTCTGTACCTCCTTGAGAAGAAATGCGTCAGCCAACACACAGTGTTCATGTGCAGTTCTTTTCCCCTGTGTCCTTCTCATTTTCAGTCAAAAGTTTTCCAAAGTTCCTTGGATCAACTTCCTTGTTGTCCACCCTCTTCAGTGAGGTTATAGAGTTTATTTGTAACGCAGCTAGGTTACTTTGTCCCAGTCGGTATTCCATCTTGGGTTCTCCTTGTGTCCTGGTTGGTCCTTCACAACTTTGCCTGTGGTAAGATTCCCTGTGTGTGGCTCGCAGTGTGTGGGCTCGACAGTTCCCCGTGCACCATCTGAGCTCCACACATCCCCAGCTTCCCCGTGCTGCCCCTTGACGGTCAAACCCTCTTGTCCCTGGCAACCGGTCTGCCTTTTCCAGAACGTCATATAAGTGGATAGGTAGCCTTTTGGGTCCGGCTTTTTTCATGTAGAAAAATGCATTTAAAATGTATCCATATTGTTGCGTGAAGCAGTAGCCTGATTCCTTTTTGTTGCTGAGTTGTGTTTTCTTGTCTGGGTGTACCACAGCTTGTTTACCCACTCGCATCCGGGCTATTCCGGTTTGGGGCAATGGCAAATAAAATTACTATAAACATTCACATACAGGTTTTTGGATGAACATAAGTTTTTCTTCTCTCTTGAGTTGTTAGTCACGGGTGGGATTGCTGGGTCATATGATAGGTGTATGTTTAATTTTATGAGAATTGCAAAGTGGTTGTATCATTTTGCTTTCCTACCAGCAATGTCTAAAGTTCCAGTCACTCTGCGTCCTTGTCAGCCCTCGCTATTGTCAGATTATTAAAAAAAATTTAGCCATTGTAATAGGTGTGTAGTGCTAATCTCATTGTGGTTTAATTTACATTTCACTAATGACTAATATCATTCATCTTTTCGTATGCTTATATACATATGCTTATGTACATTTTTTTGTGGTCAGATCTTTAGATCTTTTGCTTATTTTTTTATTGGAATGTTTGTTTCCTTATTGTCAAGTTGTGAGAGGTCTTTATATGTACTCTGGATACAAGTCTTTTATCAGAGAGAAGATTTGCAAACATTTTCTCCCAGTGTGTGCCTTATCTTTTCATTCTTTCTCACAGAGCTAACCTTCGTAACTCTGATAAAGTATGGCTTATCAAATTTTTTTCTGTTATGGATTTGTTATGCTTTGGTATCTACAAACTCTTGGTCTAACTCAAAGTTACACAGATTTTTCCTGATTTTTTTTCTCTTGGGATATTTATAAATTTGTGCTTTATATTTAGGTATATGATTCGTTTTAAGTTAATTTTGCATAAGGCATGACGTGTACATAGAAGTTTTGTCTGTGTGTGTGTTTGCCTGCAGACATTGGTTTTCAGCTAGACTGTAAACGCGCTGCTGGTGGATGCGTGCTGCTTTCATGCTCTCCATGTGGCATCACGTAGCACAGACATTTCAACTATTTCTCAACTTAATGATTTTTTCTCAGCTTCTATTTTAATTATGCCTTGGCTCACCACCACCCAGTACCTGTGAGTGATTCTGTTGTTCCCATAAAATTAAATCCAAACTTTTACACCTGTCTTAAATTCCATTTATCAGTATAGAACACTCTCTAGCCCTCATAATAAATCAGCCTCAGTTACCAGTAGTTTTAGATTCATGGATAATTTTAAGGTGTTGCTTTCGGTGGGACTCCTGAAAATACTAACTTTTGAATTCTGTATTTTAGCCAAGATTATTCCTCTTTGCCGAGATCCTCGCCTGTCTCTTTTTACTGAATCAGTTTTAAATATGAGTTTGCCTAATGAGACTGAAAGTGGAATGGCCTCTAAGAAGCCAGCCAGATGGCCAGATTGTCAGATCCTTTTTGAGATGGATCCTATCTACCAAAATAAAGTAAGTTTAAAAAGAGTTTCTCTCAGGGACTATTTGGCTCTAGGAGCAGAAACCCACTGAGATTCTTAGATTAAAGGGACTTACTGAAAAATTCAAGTATCCTAACTTAGGGCAACGGACGTGTCATTTCCGACTCATGTCCCCATCTGTCCTTCTCGTGGGCTTTCAGCTCTGTTCACCTCTTTTGTTTTTTCCAACTTCTGCTACAAAAAGGAGCTTTCTCTTGCATGGTTCCCTCCCAGTACTGAATTGCCAGTGTGTTGACGTGCCTTGGCTGGTTTCTCCCCATTCCGATCCCCATGGGTATTGTGGTTCAGATCCACTGGAGAATCTCATCATCTCCACTTGGCTCAAATTCTGCCCGGTCAAGGAGCCATGTCTTGGGAATGGGTGAGGTAACACAGTCCATGGACCCGCCGTTGTGTGGGGCTGCGCATGGAGCATCTGCTCTAACGCAGGACGACAAACACAGAAATACATGACTGGTGTTTCTAGCAGCTTCAAACAACATGCTGACCAGAAAGAGAAATGGCCTGAATATTGAAAAATCCATCTAAATTTCTTAAAGTCTTAGGTTTCCAACATAGTTCTGCAGTGTGGGTTCTGCACAAAACAGACCCCACAGAGAACTGTTGTTGTACGTATTCTGACAGAACCATCAGCCTGTCAGCCCACACTTGTTACTCTTACAGTTCTGACCTGTTAACACTTTATTTACAGATTGCCAGTCTCCTGACTGTTGTTGGTAATTCCATGGGGCAAGTTAATGTTTACAGCTGCAAGTTTATAAAATACTGTTCCATGGTACAGCAGGCCAAAGCCATGAGTATGAAAATCTCATCAATAGATGAACTGACTTCAGTACAGTTTAAAACTATCCTGGCTAAATTCAGAAACTATCTTCAATATATTATTAATATGGCCATTGAGAAACGCATTGGTATTTTCAAAGTTGTCAGTCTCAATTATCAGTCAGAATGCTTACCATATGTTGAGAATGTCATACATCTGATCCACAACCTCTTGCAATCTGTAATTGAAAGAAAGAATACAAATCTACTGGAAGTAAGTATTGTGGAAATACCTATTGCATGAGAATCTTTATGATCATTAGATTATTATTTTAAAATATGTACTTAGGAAATATAAATGTTGAATGTTATCCTCAGAAAATTCTAATATGTGTTAATACTTGTTTGGGTCTCTGATCAGATATCATTTCCTCAAAGAAACATTCTTTGTCCACCATTTCTAAAATGGCACCCCATGTTCCTTGTTACGTCTTTTCCCTGTTGGGAATCATTGCAAACTTACGAACATGGACGTGACATGATACAACTTGCATTTTCATGGGGACCACTCTGGCTGCAGTGTAGAGAATGGGTTGAAGTGGGACAGGACGGGAGGAAAGCTGTTTCTGGCATCTCGGGGAGCAGTGATGTGCGCCTGAACCAGGGCAGGAACAGTGTGGAGTCTGGGAAGCAGATGGCTTTGAGGTCCATTAAGAGATGGAATCTTCAGGATGTAGTGATTGGCAGAATGTAAGGAATAAGAGAAAGGAATTAATGATACTTTGAGCTTTTGGGTTGGGCCGCGGGGCGAGCAGGGCTGCAGTGCATGGCTGCGGGAGCACAGTGCTTGCTTCACCGCGTAACCATCCGGCAGAGATGCGATGTGCGCGTCCGGCCATCGGCAGGGAGTCTGGACCAGAAGCACATGTTTAGGTGACCAGCAAACAGGTGCTCTTCAAGGTCACCCTTCGGGAGGATGCGCCTGCTGTATGTGTGTAGCGAGGAAGGAAAAGGACCCCACAGCAGAAGCCTGAGGAATGCCAGTATGCAGGAGGCTGCTAGACGGAGAGGGGCCTGCAGAGGACCCTGAGAAGTAGCAACCAGAGAGGGGGAGGAAAGCAAGGGAGTGGTCTGAGAAAGAGGGAACGTTTAGTAGCTTTTAATGCTACAGAGAGTTTAAGAGAGGGTTGAAAAGTGTCTGTCTTTACAGCCACAGCGGGTCCTAAAATGTACACAAAATTACCCTCTGTTTCCCTGAGGCTGGTATTCCCCAAGTATCAGAAACCGAACCCAGTGTACGGCACAGCGCAGCCGTTTCCCTGATGCCCAAGGACAGTTCGGCGCGGGTGAGGCAGGCCTTCCCTCTGTCAGCGCCGCTCCCGTGACAAGGGCCTGTGCTTGCACTCCGGGCAGAAACACGGGGACGCAGAAGCAGCAGTGTGCTGCGTTTCACTTCGCTTGGCATCGCCAGAACCGGGTCACAGTGCCGCCACCGGCTCAGAAGGACCTGGCTGAACTGGCACGTCTTGAGCTCCTCTGCCTCAGTGGTTGAGGAAAGCAAGCAGAACATGGAGTGGGCTGGGTTTCAAGTCAGACTGACTGCATCTGCCGCAGTCGGTGCCTTGGCTGTTCACACCTGTCTTCCCACATACTGAGTTTTAGGGGGCATCACAGATCTTACTTGCTCGTCCCTGTCTGGGTACTGAACCAACCGACTGAGAAATAAGACGACAGGTTAAGGCAAAAGAGATTCAAGTATTTCCTTTATTACTAATGAAGTGGACCTTGGAGAATATGGCTTCTGTTTCCTGAAAATTAACCTTCCCCAAACGGAAGCTCAGACTTAGGGAGAGACTTAGCCCGCTCAGCACTGGTTGCCCTGAAACATGACCAACATCCTGGCCACAGTGAGCAGAGAGGAACGCATACCCTCTGCGGACAGGTCGGCTTTTGAGAGGAGTGTCTAGGCTTTGCCTGTCCACCTTCTCCTTCCAAACTCCCCAGTCCCAGGAGTCACTTCACCTTCCCCAGGAAGTGAGTGTGGGGTGGAGGGGCCACCAGGAAGGCTGGACAAGTGGGGGCCCCCGCCTCATGGAGACATCAGAAGTGGGGCTGAGTGCTGCCCCCCTCCCCCCAGCCATGCGCACTGGGTCAAGTGTAACGTGGCGCTTAGTGTTCCAGTGAACTCTAAACAAAGACAGGGCAGAAGAATATAAACTGGTGGAGAAGGAACAGGATACGTGTAACTGGAACTTCCATCCTATGAAGAAGAAAATGGGGAAACAGCCACTTAAGGTGGTCTAGAGCAAATATCAAATCTTGCTGGACAGAAATACCGAGAATTCCTTTCTTTGAGGGCACAGTAAGCTCTGTGGCTGGTCAGTCTGGCAGTCTCTGGCTCAGGTCTCTTGTCCCCGGTGACCCCCAGTTAGGCCCTGTAGGAGGACTCTCTGGGTTGGGTATTCTTCACCCCCTCATCCAAGCCGGGCATCACAGACTTGTACTTGCTGGACCCTGAACAAGTACACTAATGACTCTCCTGTTGGCCTGAGTAGGGACAACCTGCGTCTGCCTTAGGAAATGTCATTGATGATTATTAGACTTGGACTTGCTTCTTAAAATAATTTTTTCCTGTTTGCTTCTGGTTAATTCCACACTTAAGTTGAGACATGACTTTGAAGCCTGAGAACTTTTTATTTTTAGCAGCTGTCTGCTTGACGCTTCCCTCTCTCCCCTAAAAGTGTGGTTCCGTATCTGATGCTGTTTGGAACATAGACTTGGGAGGAAAAGTGACACCCTTAATAGTCTCTGCCCGCAAGCTTCCTGCCAATCCTGTCGTCCCACCTTCTTCGGGCGAAGGTGCCTGATTAAAGATAAGGGCTCTAGTCTCTTCTCTCCTGCTATGGCTGCCACTTTGAAGCCACCACATTCATCCAGAGCGCAGAAAACCGTTAGCTGTCTCAGCTTCTGCAGGCCTTTGAATGAAAGAAACCTTAAGTTGGCTCGCAAAAGGCAGAGAAGAATTTTCTTATCAGAGCCGTAGTTCCCTCAGTCTCTGCTTAGCTCATTTTAGCAAGAGTCTGTCTCCGAGGATTTCACTGGAAGTACCAAAAGGAACCAGAATATGAGACCACGTGTTTCCGACTATTTACCCAGTCCTGCAGCTGTGGTCTCTCAGTCCCAAGCACTAGCAAGGCAACATGGTGACCAAAGACTTTGTTGGCCACCCTTCACCAAAGAAGCTGGCCAAGAGATACAAAATACTCTCAACGTGACAGTTGTCAGGGAAGTAAGAACCACACATCCGCTTAAGTGGCCAGAATTAAAAAGACTGACAATAGCAAGTTCTGAGAAGAATGCGGAGAAACTAGAACGTTCACACGTTGTTGGTGACGATGAAAATGGTGCAGTCACGTTGGAAAACTGCTGACTTCTTGTAAAGTTAAATTTTCACTTACCATTCGACCCAGCTACCCCATTCCACATTATTTACTTACAAGAAGTAAAAATAGGCCCACACAGACTTGTACTCACATAGTCATAGAAGCTTTAACCACAAGTGCCAAAACCTGCCAACAATCCAGAGATCTAGCAAGAGGCAAGTAAGGAAAAAACAAAACAAAATAAAACAAAACAAAACGGTGCATTCATGCCTTGGAATAGCATTCAGCAGTGAGAAGGAATGAACGAGTGCTACATGCAGTTTGGATGGACTACAAAAATATGTTGACCGAAAGAAGCCGAAAGGAGTTCCTGCTGGATGATTCCATACATACGGAACTTGACAAATACAAATTTAATCTGTAGCCACAACAAGCAGATGGTGGTTTTCTGAGGCCAGGAGTAGGAGGGGTGGGGCACAAGGCATCTTTTAGGGCAATGAAAGTTTTATATATGTTGATTACAGAGGTAACTAAACAGGTGTATAAATGTGTTAAAACTCATCATGATGTACAATTAACATCTTTTGTATGTAAATTTGGCTTCAACTGATTTAAAAGAAAATCCTGGCTTTTCCATTTACTATTTGAAAGACCTTAGTTAATATCCTTATTCTTGCTATACCTCAGTTTCTTTATCTGTAAATTGGGGATAATATTACTGACTAACCTAGAGAAGTCGTGAGAGTTAAATGAGCTATGGATTATAAAACCCTAAACACATTCTGGCACATAGTGAGCACTAGATGAATGTGAGTCACTGCAAACTCGATTTCTGCCCTTAGAAGGGTCAGGGATTTTAGTTCCAGAAAACTTTCTGAGCTATAATTTTTTTAAAAGATTTACTCACTTAGAGCATGCAAGTGGAGGGAGGGGCAGGGGGAGAGGGCGAGAGTCTAAGGAGACTCTGTGCTAAGCGTGGAGCCTGATGTGGGGCTCGATCTCAAGACCCTGAGATCACGACCTGAGCTGAATCAAGAGTCAGATGCTTCACCGACTGAACCCCCCAGGTGCCCCTGAGCTACAATTGTTTTTTAGGAACCAGCTTTGAAAGTTGCTTATTCATCCTCTCTCTGGCTCCCGCATGCCCCAGGTGTGTTTTTATCTATTTCCTGAGGGTTCGAGTCACTTTCCTTTACACGGTTAAGGCGTTTCCCCTATTTTGATGAAAGTATTTTTTATCATAAATGAGTTTTATCAAATGCTTATTCTGCATCCCTTGAAACAATCACACATTTGTTTTCTTCAGTCCTTTAATGTGGTTATTACATTAACGGGCTTTCTTGGGTTGGTGGGTTTAGTTGCCAGCACGCACATGCACTGACTTGTACGTTCTTTGTAAGATGTTTGCATTTATGCTGGCAAGCGACATTGCTTGGAGACTTGGTTTTACCACCCTCGCCTGTGTTTGGTATTGGTGTACTACTAGTGACCAAGGGAGTTTGGGTGTGTTTTAGCTGTTTCTACTGTCTTTTTTTTTTTGCATGAAATTGGGGTTATCTGTTTTCTTTGTGATACAAATTGGCATTTTTGTATGTTTGTTTCTTTTTTTCTGGCATTTAAATGGCATTTGTGGTTAGAGTCAGGATAGCCCTGTTTACTGTCCTCTGTGTTGGTCCTGATTTTCAATTAAATGTGGTAGGCACCATTATCAGCCTGTTACTACATTACCCACGTTTATTAAAGGAAAGCTACTTGGTTAGGGTCACATGTTAGGAAACTCTGGAGCTGGGAATCAGTCACAAGCCTCCCCGGTTCTAAAGCCTGTCCGTATAAACTGTGGTGCGTTAACACTGGTGATTTCTGAGCGATGGAATAGTAGGTATTTTCTACATTGAAAACTTTTTTTTGTAGTGCAGTTTTTGTATGAGCATCTATTTTATAATCAAATAGAATAAAGTGTTCAAAAAATTAGAGACATCCAGGCAATTAATTCAAGGCTGTGGAATTGAAAATTGAAATGACATTGATTCCAAAATTATGCATGAGATTCATTAAGAGCCCTGTAAACATGAGGAAAAAATGAGACAAAATTGTAATTTGAGTATAGAAATGCAATTATTTTGAAAATTTCATGGAATGATGTACATACTAAGAAAAGTATTTATATGATACATGTAATGAATACATACATTTATAATAGATAAAAATGGGATTTGGAATCAGACTTGGGTTTGATCAGTAACTACCTAAATTTCTGGTTTTGGGCTAATGAATCCTTCTGAGACTGTTTCCTCCTGTGCAAACTAGTGAGCAGACGTGCTGTCAAAACAGAGAGAGCTAGCACATCAGTGCCCCAAATGGGGTGGTAGTTATACATTGTTCACAATTCAGCCATACCCTTGCCGTAGCTATTAGTCTATTTCTTAGAGACAAAGTTATTCATAATATTACTTCCTGTATATCTTAGTAGCATTTATTTTACGTGCAAGGTACATTCAGGTTCCCTCCGTTAACAATAGGAAGGATTTGAGCATGTTAATGCTCCAGTATTTAAACAATAGTTAGAATAATGTTTAGATGATGTCTTCATTTTTTTTGTGGAATTATAATGATGTAAGTTAGAGATACTAAAAGAGTAATCAGTCTTGTAAAATAGTGTGAGAACTCATTATATAAATCTCACTGATGTGTTAATGATTGCAGGTCGTGGAGTCATCACTGCGAAAGTTGGACTCTGATCCCACTGAAATAGAAGAATTTGTGGAATATTTTACTTTTTTGGATGCAATTTCCTCAAAAATATTTGCGTTAGAAAAAGAGTACTCCACGGTTGCTCAGCTGCATTCCGTTGTACGGTATTACCAGATCCAGATTTCAGAAGAGCAAATTGCCATATACAAAATTCTTCTTGGCAGGTTTGGTCAACTAAAAACTTCTGTGAAGCTAAGCAAAACAAATAAAGATGCGGCTATTTCTAGATTCAGAGACAATCTGGAAGCACACATCACTGGTCTGCGAGTTGACCTCAGTAACTTAAAGGCCAAGGTCAGTATTTTGTTCATTAAATATCAACTGGATCTTAGTTTCACGTAGGCCTAAGCTTATAGGTATTTGCTTTCTGTGGAGTCTTAGGTCAATAATTTAATCCAAGTGATGTTAACCTAGAATCCACAGACAGAATCTTGGTGATTTGTGAGCTTCACTGGAGAGAGAAATTGCATGTCTTGTTTTCACTAACCTCTAACTGAAATGTAGCCTTTTCTTCAATTATGAATGAATGTAGACAACAAACAGCAAAGCGGCGACTTTTCCCATACGATTCAACAGTCGGCCACAGGAGGCCTCTGGCCCGAGGGGCTGAAACGCCCCTGACATCTGTCCGGGTCTGAGTCTGGGCCGGATGTAAGGAGAGGTATGATTTCAGTCACTCATGGAGAGCAGACTGTAAAGTAAACCTCCAGCGTTTGCTGAGCCCTTCCCAAGTGTCAGTAACTGTCCTCTGTGTTTTACCCTTTTATCTGCCTGAAAAAAACAAAATGAGACTTAGGTCCGCTAACCTGCTGGAGATCACACAGCAAGTAAGAGCCAGGGCTCCAGAAACCTCGCTCCGTGCCCCCTCTGTCCTCGCCGGCGCTGCCAGGTATTAACGCCCAGGGAGTCGATACAGCATGAGCGCCTGGCGTGGATTAGACAAAACGTGACTTACTGCAGTTACTGGGTTTTCGGCTTCTCCATTGACACCGTTGATCTGCACTGTTTCGCACAAATACAGTGAAGACGAAACAAATTAGTCATGAAAGCACTTGATACCCCTACCCCATCTGCAGCCTTTAAAATCGTACTAGAAACATACTGACGCTGCCAAACACATGTTTCGGGTGTTCACAAGTTCTGTTTGTTAGTGTCTGAGGTTGTGGACACTGCCTGAAATGGGGTCTGTGTTGCGGTCAGTTTACTGCCGAGTCCTGGGCAACCACATGGTAGGCCGGGGGCATTGGGCTGGGACAGGAGGGAGTTTGTGCCCTTGTCACCAAGGGTTCAGAGACCCTGCGGGAGTCAAGAGCGGGGGGCAGCTCTGCAGAACTGTCCTGAGTTCCTGCATCCCCAGCCCTCCTGGGGGCATGACTGTGGGTGACTTTAGCTCTTTTTGGCCAAGGGCAGCTCCTGGGAAGGGGCTCAGCCGTGCCGAGTGAGCGTCTGTCCTCTCCCTCCTCCTCCTGGGCCTTGCCCAGTAAGCTTTCATTTCTGCCGATTATGTTTTTCACTTCTAAACTTTCCATTGGGTTCTTGCCTACATTTTTTCATTTTTCTTTGCTAAGACTTTCTGTTTTCCCACTGGTTTCAAGAATATTCATCATTTTTTAGTGGAGTATTTTTTATCATACCTGCTTTAAATCCTTTGTCAGATCATTTTAAAATCTGTGTCATGGAGACATTGGTGTCTGTTGATGAATCTTCTTATGTGAGTTGAGGTTTTCCTGATTTTTTATATGCTGAATAATTTTGTGTGATATATTTTGGATTAAATATTGGGCTGTCAGACTCTGTCTTGTTTAAAGCACATAGAAGGTTGGTATTTTTGTTTTAGCAGGCAGCGCACCTCGTCCAGTCCCATGTCCCAGCCCACGCTCTTTGGGCAGCAGTCCCGTTGTCACTGTAGGTGTCACGACCTTGGCAGGACAGCTCAGATGCGTCCCCCCATGCGCCAGGCAGCACTCCGTCTCACTCTGGGTGGTGGTCCCCGAGGTGCTGAACAGGAGCCGATCTGCATGCGTGCAGCTCACAGGGGATGCACTCACTTTGCGGGGAGCTCGCTTTCTGGAGTCTGTTGCTCTCTCTGCCCCAGAGTTTTCCACATTCCTGGCACTCTTCTTTTCAGTCCTCTGGTCAGAAAGCTGGGGTTGTTCCGTAACTGCACACACATCTGGGGCAAAGCAGCAGACACGGAGCAAGTGGTCCGTGGGGTCCCCCCTCCCTGGAAGAGAGGACAGTTGTCTCCCCTGAGGTCTTTACTGCCACCCGCTGTCACACCCCCTTGGGATTGCCTGAGGGCGGGGGTGGGAGAGAACAGGAGAGAGAGGCCTTCCACGCACCGTGTGAGCATCCACAGTGGTCAGAGAAGAACGGGGGCTGCACGGCAGTGAGAACTGCATGGACAGCAGGGAAAGGGAGCTCAGTAGAGATTGGCTCGGCTCTGAATGCACCATGGGTGGGCGGAGGTCGAGAGTCAGGCACCAGGAGGGGAGCGGCGCCTGACACATTACCAGGGGCAGACGTCCAGGGTGAGGAGGCCTCTGGCCAAACCAACCAGTCGGGATTCTGGCTGAGGACAGGCCAGAGTGAAGTCAGTCCCATCCCCCGGTGTGGTGGACAGTGTGGGGCTTGAGCAGATGTGGCGGGTGTGGGCTCTGGTTAAACAGAAACCGGCCTTGACACGGATGTGCACCGATGGGCCTTGGAGAAGCTTCAGGAGGCTGACTCCAGTGTGCTCAGGCAGAGAATCCTTGCCAGACCCTCTCCTGCTTCTGAGTCCCCAGTAGTAGGCTCTCTGGAACTTTCATGGTTTGTGGCCCTGAGGCTCACACCACGTTGCCCACACACCAAGTGGAGGTCAGGGTCTGCTAGGAGGACACCGGGGTCAATTTACCACTAATCTGGTGGCGCTTTGGATGACCATCTGCGTCCCCTGCCTGCCTTGGATGCTGCTCCTGGGGAGAGCCAGGGTGGGGCACACGTACTCTGTCTTCTGACTTTGTGTAACCTTTCACACGATTTCACTATTTACCTGATGGCTGAGATCACTCTGTGAAGATCTCGAGTGGAACACTGCTGGTAGGCCTGGCAAAACATGACGGGATATAAGCCAGTAAGATCATTTCTCCAACTATCTCCCCCCGAGATAGCTCACTGACAAACATAAATGTTAATGAGTGGAAAACTATGGGAGAAGCCTAAGGAAAACTTTATTATATGTCCATTAAATGAGCTCCCTTTTACAGATCATATATTAAGCTCTATCTGTTATCACAAGTACTGTTTATCAGTTTTGTATGGCATGACCACGCCACATAGAACACAATGTCATTTGTGACTCCACAGGCTGGATTTTTTAGAAGAATAAGGTGATAGGATCCAAATTCATTTATTTGTTCAATAACTTTTTAATAAAAACTACTGTCTACATCTTACTGTACTAGGTTCTGTGAGGTGTTTGGAAATAAATGGACGAAACCATCCTTAATCCTGAGAAACTTATAGTTTAATAAGGGATAAATCAGGGCAAACTTCTACTTATGTCTTTGTTTGGAGGTCATTGTTGCAAATGTCCACAATCTCATGTGTAATATTTAAACTCTAATACAAGGCAACATGTGACAAGTACCAAAAAAATAGAACAAAGTTAGGGGGAGCCTGGGGGGCTCAGTTGGTTAAGCATCTGCCTACGGCTCAGGTCGTGATCTCCGGGTACAAGGATCGAGCCCCGCATCAGGCTCCCTGCTTAGTGGGGAATCTACTTCTCCCTCTGCCTCTCCCCCTGCTCCTTCTCTCTTTCTCTGTGTTTCTCTGTCTCAAATGAATAAAGTCTTTAAAAAAACAAAATAGAACAAAGTTATGGGGCGCCTGGCTGGCTCAGTCAGTGGAACGGTGTGCGACTCTTGATCTCAGGCTTGTGAGTTCAAGCCCCACTTTGGGTATAGAGATTACTTCGAAACATACAATCTTCAAAAAAAAAAAAAAGTACAAGGTTAAACAGGATCAGGAAAAGAGGAAGTGACCTCTGGAGTCAGTACCATGTCCTGGAGGCCGTAACCTCAAACTGCCCCTTACCATTGGATGATGTAACAATTATTTGCAACTTCAGAACTTCCTCGAAAAATTGTGAAAAATATTAACTCTCTTTCAGGATTGTTGTAGGGTTTTAGTAAGTAAGGTAACGTATTCCTTATCACAGAGCCCAAGATAGAGAAGGAACATGACAGACTATACGTATGATGGTAATAATAATAAAATAATTAAAATGAATCTTAATAAACACAATTATAAATTAAGGACAGTGTCTCCCAATGATGGTTGCAAATAAGGGTTGATAAGTCTTCGATTATGGGCTGACATGCCGTCAGTTAACACATGTGAGTCCTGACCCCATCTTGCTGTTGTGCTTTAGATAAGAACTCCCATCCTGTTGTGCGATGGCACCCGCGTGGACACTGCCACAGAGATGATGCAGACGCTCACAGAGGAAGCTGCCGCCCTGGCGCATAAGGCTAAGACCTACTCCAGCTACCAGAACTGCTTCGATGATGCCCAGTCCCACATGCACTCTCTCAACATGGAAGAGATCACACAGCTTGTTCTTGGGGAGGTTTCGGACATTGAGTACGACCTCACCTTGAGGAAGATACTGTGGGAGGTCCAAGAGGAATGGAGGACGCTCTTTTGGGAATGGAGGAATAGTACCCTTGGCAGTATTGATACAGAATCAGTCCAGAGAAACGTTTCAAAATGGATGCACAAAATCCTCCTCCTAGAAAAAGGTAAAAGTGTCTTCCTCGGGGTTCCCACCTACGATTATACACAGAGTGGCCCCTGGGCCGGGAAGGTCATGGTCCTTGACCTTATTTCTTTTTTGTTGTTGTTTTTTTAAAGATTTTATTTATTTATTTGACAGAGAGAGACAGCAAGAGAGGGAACACAAGCAAGGGGAGTGGGAGAGGGAGAAGCAGGCCCCCCGCGGAGCAGGGAGCCTGATGCGGGGCTCGATCCCAGGACCCTGGGACCATGAGCCGAGCCGAAGGCAGACGCTTAACCGACTGAGCCACCCAGTCGCCCCTTGACCTTATTTCTTTACCTGTTGCCAAGGCCTGGCCATTAATAGCCGGAAAAGCAGTACAGGAGCCTAGGGGTACGAATCGTTCCTGAAGCAAGAAAGAGAGGAAAACTTTGCAAAAAAAAAAAAAAAAGTACTTAAGAACAATGTTTTGTATCCTTTAGAAGTTGTTTCCCTGGGCAGAACGTTGGAGGCTTCCCCATAACCGTGGGCCACACGTGCTTTGATGACAGAGGCCCACCTCCAGAGCGCTCACCCACATCCTCACTGTTTACGCCTGCCGTTTGCTTTGGCCGGTGGGGAAAATAGCTAAAAAGTCATTTTGAGAGGTTTCCCTTCTGCTGATGCTCACAAGTGAAGTACAGAAATGCTGTTTCTGTAAGATCTGACCTCTCCACCAGGCGAGCGTCTCATCTCACTCAGCAGGAGAGCTATAATTTCCTCTCCAGAAAAATACTTGAATCGGCTTGTTTTCGAATTATAACAGAAATAGACAGATACCACGAAAAGTTTACAAAAGAGACAAGCTGGGGACAAACCTCCCAGAGCCTCACTGCTTCAACATAACACTCATTGTGTGCATCTTCTCTCAGGGTTTAGTCCTGGGTGCTTCAGAGGACGGGGTGTGGAGTGACGAGCAGACAGTACCTTCTTTTATCTGTGGTTTCCCAGATAAAATCCTGCTATTTGCCAAAATATGGATTTACAAACTCCGAAATTATTCTCTTGTCCTTTTGTTTCACTGGGTCTTGAAACCATTTTATTATTCAACATGGCTTTACAAAAGAAGCCCCATCTGTACCAATTGGCTATTCAAGCAGATAGGCATACTTCTCAGTGCTCCTGAGTCCCCAACTCTGGCTGTTTCTCGGCCTCCTCTCTTTGTCTTTTATAAGTTGAGTAAAAAGGTTTTGAGGTTTGAAGTTTCAGCTGCAGAGGTCGTGAGTCCTGGACGGCAAGGGTTTGTCAACGCCAGAGGACGGACCGGTCCTGCTCTGTGGCTAGATCTTTACTGACATTTCCTTCGTTTCAGTGTGAAGTATTTTCTTTATGACATGATAGTGACAGATTTTTGCTCCTCCTTGATGTTCCTCCTTAGCAGAATTTAAAAGCCCCAAACCTGTCATGGTCTTTTGAATGTAGTGCATGTACCTATCTGTCTGTCTAGTCAAGAGAAACCTGGGAAACTCTGTGGTAGCTGGCTATCCCTAGTATCAGATTTTCCAAGAAAACTTGGCTTTGAAGGTCTCGGATTGTAATCACCAGTCCTGGTAACTGTTTTCTCTTTGTTTGAATCCACAGTTGACTCTTCTGGGAAGGTGATGTTAATAAAACTCATCATCTTAATGCAGACTAATCACTGAGAAACCAGAATTACACTAAATAGCAGATGTGTTTTCTGGTTTAAAAAAATAGGATGAATGGATCTTAACCTTTTGCCCCATTGCTATTTATAGGTCTACCTAAAAACGACATGGTAGCCCATCTCAAGCAGTCGGTGATGGAATTTAAGCAGGAGGTGCCTATTATCACAGCTCTGGGAAACCCCCATCTTAAGCCGAGACACTGGGTGGCGCTCCAGGAGGTTATCGGAAAGTCTGTTTCTCTTGACAAAGACTGTACAGTAGAGAATCTTCTAGCACTCAAGGTAAACAAATAATATCTGAAAAAAAAGTAGGTTGAAATACCAGAGGGGCTGGGGCGCCTGGGTGGCTCAGTCTTTAGGCGTATCTCTTCGGCTCAGATCATGATCCCGGGGTCCTGGGATCGAGCCCCGCGTCGGGCTCCCTGCTCCGCGGGAAGCCTGCTTCTCCCTCTCCGCCCCACTTGTACTCTCTCACTGTCTCTCCTTCTCTCTCTCAAATAAATAAATAAAATCTTAAAAGAAAGAAGGAAAGAAAAGGAAGAAAGGGAAGGGAGGGAGGGAGGAAGGAAGGAAGGAAAGAAAGAAAAAATACCAGAGGGGCCAATTTTAAGCAAGCAAGTACATCTACAAGGAATAGGAATCAGAAAAGGGAGTGGCTTTGTCAATTGTCTGGGAAGGTGGCAGCAGGCTGGCGGGGGTCAGGTGGCCGAAGTTACCTGTAGCTGCGGGTTTGGGGGTGCCATTTGCTACGGCACGTCCCGGTGGTTCAGAAACGGTGACTGTGCTTTTCCCGTGTGACAAATGAAGCTAACAGTGCTCCTTCTTACAGAGAATCCGGGAACAGAAACATCCAAAGTACTGGATTCCATCTTACATAAAATGAAAATGCATTAAGAGCATGTTAGGATAGCTCTGCGCATAACTTGATACTATAAATACACGGTTAGGAGCTATTTGATTTGCCGTCTAGGCGTTGTTATAAAAATAGATTCCATGATTTTTACAGTCAAAAGTTTTTCTGTTTTCAGACCTGGTTTACAATAAGCTTCATTTATATTTTAGGCTTCAGGGTTAACAGTGTTGAATGTAATTAAAAACACTATTTTATAATTTTCTACTATATGATCTGTTATAATGAGGAAATGGGGGGAAATTTTAAGGAATTTAAAAAGAACTTATAAAAGGCCACTTTAGTTGATCTTTAAAATTAGGTTGCTGTGTATCTCGGGCCCTGGCCTCCATCTTCCTCCTGAACTCACACATGCACTTTCCTGTTTAGTATCTGCTCTTACGTGTCTCAGAGACATCTCACCGTTAGGGTTCTCTCCCTCCTCTCGCCATCTCAGCTAAGGGCACCTCTGTTGTTTTCCAGCCACTTAGGCTAAAAATCATGAAATAATCTTTAAATCTTCTCTTGCTCTCCCCGTCCTCATCCCATCTAAATCTCTCATCCTTTCCTGGATCATTACCGGGCCTCCTGACGGATCTGTGTGCCAACAGGGAATTCAGCAAAATATCTAGATTATTTCAGAACATATACATCAACAGTTAGGTTTATTCAGAACAGCATTCCAGAAATGCTGCTCAATTGAAATGACATTTTCCTTTTCAAAGTCTTGGGTTATTGGAGTCGTCCCTGGGCAGGTCAGGTGAAGGGTGAAATTTGGCAGTCTAGCAGCAAGCAGTAAGGGCTTGTTTGGCAGTCTAGCAGCAAGCAGTAAGGGCAAGCAAGTGAGGGCAGACAGGCCTTCCTGGGGTTGGTGACTACAGTAGCTCAGAGGGTTCCAGTGAGCTGTCCCTACATTTCTAACATGAATAGATAGTTTAAAAAGGAATTCCCTTGCAGTTTTTGGAGGATCCAAATTAAGAGAATTCAGCGTCTGAACAAAAATGAACACGGTCTTCAGCCTCTGAAATACCGTAGCCAGGAGTCAGAGGAACCCTTTCTTCCTGAGGTGGATTGTTTAGTAGTCAGAAGGGATAGCAGGCGATGAGCTGCCAATCTCACCTGAGCCCAAAGAGTTCCTGGAATAATGTGATCATCCTCTTTCTACTCAACAACTTATCCAGTATAATATGTGTACCTAGATGGACAGGATTTGGCCCAGAAACTCAGCCTTCATGTCCTAGAGCATGCGTGTCGTGGGGTCAACCCAGGGACAGCAGTTATGCTGCAGGACTGCCCAGGACAATCTGTGGCAGAGGTTCACTTGCCGTCCTACCAAACGAATAAATATGTTTAGTGACAGCCATTTCTGTCCAGCACAATATGTAGACTCTGTAAATCCTGTGACGTGAAAAGCATGTCCCAAAGTAAATTAAGAGGAAGAGGTCAGTAGTGTGCATAAAATGCTCACCATCACTTCATGGTTGATCTTTTTCACTTGAGAAACCAGGTGCTTTATCAGAGAGGCAGATAATCAATTATAGGCATTAAGATTCATCTGAAATCTCCTAGGTATTACCTAGTTGATTGGAAGATCTGACCATTTGTCAGTCAGGTCCCAAACTTTGACCATAAGGACTTGAAAGGGCTCGATGCACATGGTTGAAATTTTGCTCTACACATTATCAGTGTCTGGATTTAGTTACTAGCAATTTCAGAATGTCAGCATTAAGCAACAAGTTCTTTCTTCAGCATAGAAACTTGATGGTCCTGTGGTTCCTTATCTGCCTTTGGCTGAATAACCTGTATCAGAAGGCAAGCCTCCTTCTCAGACTGTTAGTGAAGGCCATAAACAGTCGACTGATCCCACCATTCTGACACCCATCTGTGGCAGATGATGAACACTAGTCCTATTTGCACAGAGTCCCCACTGAGCTGCAGTACCAAAACGTAGGGATTAGGCATCACTCTTTAACCCCATGAAGATGCCGTATGGGAACAGTGGTAGATTCTTCTTTCAGGGCTAGAAACAATTAGCCCAGCCAGTTAATTCTACGATATGGGAATGAGGAGCCCTCTGAGTATCTCTGTTGTGGTGAGTGAGCCTGGAGATCTTGTGTCAGGATCTTGTCCTGAGGGAACTGGCAGTCCATGCCCATTGGAAAGAAGGCCTATCTATACTCCACTAAAGTGTTTTGAGAGCTGTGTATCCTCATGGCAATAGGGCAAAGAAAGGGAAGCCATGGAAAGCTTGGGTCCATTAGGATTACATCCTCTCAGGTAATTGTATCTCGAGAATTACTGCAGAAAGTAAAAGCATGTCACAGAGTGAGGAAGCAGTTGGCGTTAGTGCAGAGAAAAGAAAGCTGGAGGGGCTAATACCATCTGCACGTGTACAGAAGGTGCTGTTACTGTTCTTCACATGGGCTCAAATTAGAGGAAACACGCACGGTGACTAAGAATTTCCCTGAGCATGCAGAACGTGGAAGGTTTGAAGGGATGAAGCCCGCCAAGGGCCCTGTTGTCTGGGTCGGGACGCGCACTGTCCAGTCAGGGTGTCACCCGGCTGGGACCGGGTCTCCAGGGCCTGGGACGTGCGCGTTCGTGTAAGTCTTGTGTTGTAAATGCATCAGGAACCATTCGTCCACCGAATATTAATGAATCTGTTTTCATCTTAGATGTTTCAGTACGAAAATGAAATTAACGAAATCTCCACCTCCGCCACTAATGAAGCTGCTCTTGAGAAGATGCTGTTTAAGATTATTGACCAGTGGAACACGACCCCGCTGCACCTAGTCGTTCATCAGTCAGAGTCGGTGTCCATCCTGATAATTTCATCCATAGACGACATATTAACTCAGTTAGAAGAGTCTCAAATCATACTTGCAACAGTTAAAGGATCTTCCTGTCTCGGGCCCATTCGGGTAAATATTGGGGCAAAGGGAAACTATTGTAATTGTTTGTAGTTTTATTTATCACTTTAATTTTTTGCATTTTGCAACCTTTTGAATTGTATAAATCACTCACATACTTACAAAGAAATGAGAATGAATGTTAGTAGTGTAAATACTAGAAGTAACTTGTAGAAATATCTGCATTTCGAGCAGAGCCCATGCCGAGCCCACTGCCTGTGGGCTCTGCTTGCTGACGCGGAATGCTTCTTTCTCATTTCCTGTACTGTTACAAGGGTTAGTCCTGCCTGCGCCGCCGTGTGTCCTGCAGCCACTGCTGAACAGCAACCTGCTCATCTGTGCTTGTATGGTTAGGAACTGAAGCACAGGGCCAGCAGGTATTCAGCATTCCCTGAAAGGCCCGTCTCTGGGCTGCCCCATGTCCAATACCATGGCCAGGAATCATTTATGAATGTCAGAAAACTCAACAGGCAATGTAATAATGTACAGATACTTAATAGTAAAGTTACCATAATTGATACAGAGTGAAAGAGAGAAATGTGGACCCATTAAGTGGAATTCCCATTATTTGCAAACACACAAGCATTTAGAGAAAATGGCAGTTAACTGAACCTTAGACCAAAAAAAAAAAATCACAAAAAAGGGATGAACCAATAGACTATATTCTCTAACCACATGTATTAAAATAAAAAACAGCAGAGAAACAGCAAAAAATAGACAACAAAACTATCCCAGAAAAATCTGATTTCAAAGCATCCATAAGAATATACAGGAAATGTAATAAAAAATTTTCATTAAAAAAGAATTCTAAATCAAACTTTGTCATAACTGGCTTGGAGCCCCATGGAAACAAAGGTTTAGAACACCGAATGCCTTCATTAAGAAGTAAAAATGAAGTTAGTAAGTGATACATCGCACATCCTTCAAGAGCTGAAAAACACATGCACACACACACGGACTCCGGCTTCCAGCAAGATACACCGTCCTCCTGAAATACCCAAAGCAGAACAGAAAAAAATGGAACTGTGGTTTTCAGGACACTTGACATCAGGCATTGAATGACAAGGATCCTAGAGAGAAGCAAACAAGAGGAGCCCCATGGTTGCCCCAACCTGAGTGTGCAGGCCTCAGTTGGGCCTGGCAGACTCCCTGATAGGGGGAGATGCTACCGAAAGTCAGAGGAGGCCAGAGGTTGCAGGGCGAAGTACCAGCGAGGATAGAACTCCAGAGAGCCGTGGAAGCTCCCTACTCAGGTACTCTGCAGCCCCAAGTGCTGGCATGTGAATTCCAGGAAACGCTCTGAAACCAGGGGGATGACCCCTTGAGAGGATCTGAGGGAACCATTCACCCAGGGCTGGGAATAGGGCCCATATTCACCAGCCGCAACAGGAAACTAGGCCTAATTTGTGAGCATTATAGATGGAGCACTGGAAAGGATCTTGCCACATTAAACTAAATCCTGCTCTAACAGATCTTAAAAGCAAACCCCCAACTGATGAAACTGTTTCTAAGTAATTTAACAGCACTCAGAACAAAGTCCAAGAACATTTATAGGAATACAAAAATAGGGGCGCCTGGGTGGCTCAGTCGGTGAAGCGTCTGAACATTAATGAATATGTTTTCATTTTAGATGTTTCAGTACGAAACATCTAAAGTTTACCGAAGGAAACTGATCCAGAACTGACACAGATGTCAGAATTAGATGAGGACAGTGAAACGATTATTTTTTTAAAGATTTTATTTATTTATTTATTTGACAGAAAGCATGAGCAGGGGAAGCAACAGAGGGAGAGGGAGAAGCAGGCTTCCTGCTGAGCCGGGAGCCCGACACAGGACTCGATCCCAGGACCCCGGGATCATGACCTGAGCCGAAGGCAGGCACCCAACTGACTGAGCCACCCAGGCGTCCCTGCAACAATTATTTTAACTCTATGCCATATGTTTAAAAGTAGATATGTAGAAGATAATACAGACCAAATACAAATACGAAGACCAAAGTCAAACTTCTACAGATGAAAACTATAATATCTGACATGAACTATACACTAGATGAGATTGACAGCAGATTAGACCTTGCAGGAGAGAAGATTAGTGAATTTAATTTTGGAAAAGAAGAACAAAGCTGGCAGATCAACACTACCTGATTTTAAGACTTACTGTCAGTTTTATATTGGTTTAAAGATAGAAAAATGGAACAGAATAGAGAGTACAGAAATAGACCCACGTATATATGGACATGTGATTTTTAACAAAAGTTTAAAGACAATTCTGCAAAGAAGTCTTTTTAGAAATGGAGCTGGCAAATCGGACAGTTGCATGCAAAACAAATTTTTAAAAATCCTTCAAGCTATGTCTTGTAGCATATATAAACTTTAACTCAGGAATGGATCATAGGCCTGAATGCAAAACCTAAAACATCAGAAGAAATTTTTGAAACATTGGGAAGAAAACATCAGAGGAAATTTTTGTGACCTTGGGCTAGCCAGGTTTCTCCAGTATGACACCAAAAGAGTGATCAGTAGAAGGATTTCTATCAAAAATTAAAAACTTGTGCCCTTAAAAAGACACTTATTATTAAGGGGAAAAAATATAAGCCAAGACTAGAAGGAAATATTTGCAAAGCATGCATTTGGTAAAGGACTTTGTTTCAAGAATATATAAAGAATTCTCAAAATAAAAAAAATAAATGGGCAACAGATTTAAGGAGACACTTCACCAAAGAAAATATTTAGATGGGAAATAAACGTATGCAAAAATGCTTCACCTCATTATTCCTCAGGGAAAAGTTAGAATCCCAATGAGGTACCACTATACAGCTTATGGAATGACTAAAACTAAAAAGACTGATCATCCCCAGTGTTGGTGAGGATGCAGCGGAACAGGGAACTCTTGCGCACTGCTGTGTGAAAGGTAAAATGTTACAATCGCTTCAAAGGTTTACTAAAAGTTAAAAAATAGACCTACCACATGATGTAGGCATTCCACTCGTAGATATTTACCCCAAAGAAAGGAAAGCTTATGTCCATGCAAAGACTTACACCTGAGTATTCATAGCAGCTTTATTTGTAGTAGTGAAAAACAGGAAGCAACCCAGGTGTACATCTGCTGGTTGGTAAATATATTGTTGTATATCTATACGGTGGAATACTACTCAGCCGTAAAAAAAAAAGAAATACATATGCAACAACATGAATGAATCTCAAAATAATTATGCTGAGTGAAAGAAGTCAGACCAGAAAGAGTACATACTATACGGTTTCATTCATAGAGAATTCTAGAAAATGCCAACTAGGCTTTGGTTTCAGAAAGTAGATTGGTGGTTACCTAGGGATGGGAATAGGCCGGAGTTGGAGGAAGGGACTGCATCAGGGCAAAAGAAACCTTTCCAAGGTAATGGATGTGTTCATTATCTTGATTGTGGTGATTGCTTCACAGTTTTAAACAGATGTCAAAACATTAAATTGTGCAATTTAAAGAGGTGCCATTTACTGTATGTCACTTATACTTCAATAAAATTATTGAAATATAAAATAGAGTTTAAATGAAATAGGGAGGTGCATAGCAGAAAGGAGATCTAAATGAGTTACATGTGGTTTCCTCCAAGGAGTCCAGGTTAGGGGATGGCCCAGTCTGCTGGTTTGCAGGCATTTTAGTACTAATTGATTTTTAACCATTTTCCTCTTACTTTAATAAACATACAAGCTGGAAAAAGATGTTATAGCCACACAATGTTTGTTTTTTAATTAAAAGAATGAAGAAAACCTGTAAGTACTAATGTAAAACCTCTCTAAAACACACAAGTTAAAAAAAGCAAGTTACAAAACAATGTGTATAATATGGTTACATTGATGTAAACTATTACATATATTACATGTACCTATGTACAAAAATATTTGTTAAAAATACAGCTACCGTATGACCCAGCAATTGCACTACTAAGTATTTATCCCAAAGATACAAATGTAGTGATTTGAAGGGGCACCTGCACCCCAGTGCTTATAGCAGCAATGTCCACAATAGCTGAACTGTGGAAAGAGCCCAGATGTCCGTCGACAGATGAACGGGTAAAGATGTGGTGTGTGTACACACACACACACACACACACACACACAAACAATGGAATACTCCTCCGCCATCAAAAAAAAAGAAAGAAAGAAATCTGCCATTTGCAACAACGTGGATGGAACTAGAGGGTATTATGCTAAACGAAATAATCAGAGAAAGACAGTTATCATCTCACTCATGTGGAATTTAAGAAACAAAACAGAGGATGAAAAAATAAAACAAGATGAAATCAGAGAGGGGGACAAACCGTAAAAGACTCTTAATCATGGGAAACAAACTGAAGGTTGCTGGAAGGGAGGGGGGTGGAGGGCTGGGGTGACTGGGGGATGGGCATTAAGGAGGACACATGATGGAATGAGCACTGGGTGTTGTCTAAGACTGATGAATCACTGATCTCTACCTCTGAAATGAATAATACACTGTATGTTAATTAATTGAATTTAAATTTTAAAAAATTAAATAAAATATGCATATATTAAAATATTTGTGTTATATAAAAACTAAAACAGAAAATTGCATGAACAGAACATCTCCCATGTCTCCCAAAACTAAATGTAATTAGATTTACATTTATTTATGTGACCCTCCATAATAATGTCTGTATGTCAGTGACTGATAATCACTTTTGATGTCAGTATTTTTACTAAATGAATCTTTAGACTTTATGAATGTGTGTGTTCATCTTATAGGATCTTGTGGATGAGTGGGATCAGAACTTGACTCTCTTCTCTCATACTCTTGAGGAATGGATGAATTGTCAAAGAAATTGGCTTTATCTTGAACCAATCTTTCATTCTGTAGAAATACAAAGGTAAAAAAAGCCATAAAGAGGTTAAAAAAATGCATGGTGGGTATTTATTGCCTATAATCCCTGAGAAGTCATTTCTTCAATAAACGCCTCTAAAATAATCCACCTGTGGGCGCCTGGGTGGCTCAGTTGGTTAAGCGACTGCCTTCGGCTCAGGTCATGATCCTGGAGTCCTGGGATCGAGTCCCGCATCGGGCTCCCTGCTCAGCAGGGAGTCTGCGTCTTCCTCTGACCCTCCCCCCTCTCATGCTCTCTCTCTCATTCTCTCTCTCTCACATAAATAAAATCTTTAAAAAAATAAAATAAAATAAAATAAAATAAAATAATCCACCTGTGGGCACAGGAGTATAATCTGAATTTGTTTTTCATGGAAGATTGCAAGCATCATCTTTTTTTTTTTTTTAAGTCCTATTTCTCAGTTATTGATATAAAACTATTAAGGACTGGGAAAGGAGTGTCAGGTCATCGTAATCCCTAAACCACAATACTGTGTGTCTGTTTAGTTCTAGAATATTAGTGTGGTTTTGATATGAATAATAAACATGTTTTAAATAGCATTCATACATGAATGGTAGTTTCTTACTTTGGACCATGTGAGAGAATGGAGGTCATAGACAGTTGGTGAAAATTCTACCTTTTCTTTTTATTCATAGCATTCAAATTAATTGGTCTCTCTTTAAAGTGACTGGTCTTAATAGTGTGTAAGTTCTGACACATGTATTATCTGGACAGAATTTAAAGTGTTGACCATAAATCATACAAGCTAGTCTAGAAGCCATTCTGAAATAAGGTAGGAAGTCATAGAGCGTGTGTTTGTAAGGTATATTAGAGCAGATGATAGAAGACTTTGAATATCAGGTTAAGTGTTGTGAATTTTATTTTAGGGGCAAAGGGGAGCTATGAGAGGCTCACAAAAGAAAACTGTTTAGATGTGGGTATTGCTTTGCAGGGAACAATATCCATTTTTGTTATACATGTATATTTCTTGTCATATGAATGCTTTAGTTTCTTCTATCTGTAGTTATTCTAGAGTTCCCAGAGGTGAAACCACATGCCCAAGGAATGTACCCTTTGTAATTATAACAACTTACTGCCTTAAACTCGAACTTCAATATTACTCTTTCCTAAAGATTTCTTAATTGATGGAAAGATAAGACCCCTAGTTCAGAATATCACCAAGTTGTTCTTCACAGGATTTGCGAGAAAAAAAGGGGGCTCTTAATGAAGTGTTGCTGGAGTCCTGTATTTTTACTGCGTTCAAGAAATTTTTAGGCCCATCACCCAAAATGGGGACTGGGATAATTGACGGGGGAGGGGGGCTGCTAGTGGAAGAGCTTGACGTGTATTGCCCTGGGGTTTGGGGCGTTAGAAACTAGGCCTCGCCTCTTCTCTGGAGAGCTCCGAGGCATCCTTCAGTAGCAGAGCAGACAAGTATGGGAACACGCAGATACAGGGACCACTGGTGCTCACCCACAGGTGGCGTTGCCCTCTAGGGGACGTTAGGCAATTCTAATGCCAAAAATCGCTTCTTCGAGATCAGTAGCTTCTTCTCAAGAAGCTCTCTCCACATCCCATTTCCTCTAGAATTTCAGTAGCCTTTGTCTTATTACATTTCCTAGGACACAGGTTACTTTTACTTTCTGTAGAACTTGTGTGTACCTATCTCACACCTCTCACTAAGTATAATCTTATTCAATGATGGACGCATGTCTGATTTATCCTAGTATTTCCTACCGTGTACATCACCAGATGTAATAAACACTATAAACTGTCTTCAACTAATGATCAGCAAAAATAAAACAGGTCACAACATTTTAAAAATTGAACAATATTCTGTGAAAAATGCATTTAGATTATAGATTTTAATTATAGTACCTTCAAAAGATAAAATTATCTCATTTTCTCTCTAAAGGCAGCTCCCAGCAGAAGCAAAACTCTTCTCTCATGTGATTTCCATGTGGAGAGAAATAATGTTAAAAATACAAAACAAACTGGATGCTTTGCGAATAACCACCTCTGCAGGAGTCCTTGAAATTCTGCAAAATTGCAATACATGTCTTGACTATATAATGAAAGGTCTGGAGGTAAAACTATACAGCAGTCCTAAAGTGGAGAATCATTTACTCTTCCAAATGTAATATAATGCACAACAGAAACTCTTCCGACGCAGATTTTCTTTCCTCTATTTCCAACTCTCGCCAACTATAGGGTTAATGAAAATACTATCAAAAAGAAAAAAAAAGTGGATAGATCAATCTAAATGGCCTTAGACAAAATACCAAATTTTTTAAGTGCCTAGATTTTCCGTATCTTTAAATTGGGAATAATGGTAACGGCTACGTTGAGGGGCTTTGTGCTAAATGAGATAATGCATTTAAAGCACGAGAGCTGGCACAAAGGAAGTATTCAATGAGTGTTAATTATTAGCACTACGGTTATTATTATATTGACAAAATCAGCAAAAGTTGAAATGGAATAGTTTATTTTATTTATTTTATTTTAAATCCAGTATAGTTGACATAAAGTGTTGAATTAGTTTCTGGGATACAGTGTAATAATTCAACAGTTCTGTCATTCAGTGCTCATCAGGGTTCTGTACTCGTCATCCACTTCACCTGTTTCATCTCCTCCCGCCCTCCTCCTCCCCTGGTGACCAGCAGTGTGTTCTCTATAATTAGGAGTCTCTTTCTTGTTTTGTCTTTTCATTTCCTTTGTTCATTTGTTTTGTTTCTTAAATTACACACATGAGTGAAATCGTATGGTATTTTCTTTCTCTGACTGACTTCATTTAACATTATACCCTCTAGATCCACCCATGTTGTTGCAAATGGCAAAATTTCTTTTTTTTTTTAAAGATTTTATTTATTTATTTGAGAGAGAGAATGACAGCATGAGAGGAGAGAGGGTCAGAGGGAGAAGCAGACTCCCTGCTGAGCAGGGAGCCCGATGTGGGACTTGATCCCGGGACTCCGGGATCATGACCTGAGCCAAAGGCAGTCGCTTAACCAACTGAGCCACCCAAGTGCCCAAGATTTCATTTTTTTTTTTTATGACTGAGTAGTATTCCATTGTATATACAGACCACATCTTCTTTATCCATTTTATCCTTTATCTGTGGACACTTGGGTTGCTTCCATAATTTGGCTATTGTAAATAATGCTGTGATAAATATAGGGGTGCATATCTTTTTGAATTAGTGTTCTTGTATTTTTTGGCAAAATACCCTGTAGTGAAATTGCTGGATCATATGGTAGTTCTTTTAATTTTTCAAGGAACCTCCATACTCTTTTCCACAGTGGCTGCACCAGTTTGCATTCCCACTAACAGTACTCGAGGGTTCCTTTTTTCCCCACATCCTCACCCAACACCTGTCGTTTCTTGTGTTTTGGATTTTAGCAATCCTGACAGGTGTGAGGTGTGATCTCATTGTGGTTTTGATTTGTCTTTCCCTGATGATGAGTGATGTTACGCATCTTTTCGTGTATCTATTGACCATCTGCATGTCTTCTTTGGAGAAATGTCTGTTCATGTCTTCTGCCCATTTTTAATGGGATTATTTGGGGGTTTTGGTATTGACATATATAAATTCTTTATGTCTTTTGGATGTTAACCTTTATCAAATATGTCATTTGCAAATATCTTCTCCCATTCAGTAGGTGGTTGTTTAGTTTTGTTGTTGGTTTCCTTTGCTGTGCAGAAGCTTTTTATTTTGATGTAGTCCTGTTGGTTTATTTTTGCTTTTGTTTCCCCTGCCTCAGGAGAAATATCTAAAAAGAAGTTAGTATGGTTGATGTCAGAGACATTACTGCCTGTGCTCTCTTCTAGGATTTTTATGGTTTCAGGTTTTCACAATTAGGTCTTTAATCCATTTTGAGTTTATTTTCGTGTATGGTGTAAGAAAGTGGTTTCATTCTTTTGCATGTTGCTGTCCAGTTTTCCCAAGACCATTTTTTGAAGCGACTGTCTTTTTCCCATTGCATATTCTTGCCTCCTTTGGTGAAGATTAATTGACCATATAATTGTGGGTTTATTTCTGGGCTCGCTATTCTCTTGTATTGATCTGTGTATCTTTTTTTTTTTTTTTTTTTAGAGAGACAGAGAGAGCATGAGTGGCAAGGATAGGCAGAGGGAGAGAGAGAGAGAATCCCCAGCAGGCTCCACAGAGCATGGGGCCGACGCGCAGGGCCTGATCTCATGACCCTGAGATCATGACCTGAGCCCAAATCAAGAGTTGGACACCTAATCGAATGAGCCACCCAGGCGCCCCTCTATGTGTCTGTTTTGGGGTCAGTACCATATTGTTTTGATTACTACTGATTTGTAGTATATCTTGAAATCTCGGATTGTGATGCCTCCAGCTTTGTTCTTCTTCTCCAAGACTGCTTTGGCTTTTTGGGGTCTTCTGCAAATTTAGGATTGATTGTTCTCATTCTGTGAAAAATGCTGTTGGTATTTTGATAGGATTGCATTAATGTGTAGATTGCTTTGGGTAGTATAAATATTTTAGCAATATTTGTTCTTCCTGTCCATGTGCATGGAGTATCTTTCCATTTGTTCATGTCATCTTAAATTTATTTCATCAGTGTTTTATCATTTATAGTCAAAGTACAGGTCTTTCACCTGCTTTGTTAAGTTTATTCCTAGATATTTTATTATTGGGTGCTTTTGTAAATGGGACTATTTTCTGAATTTCTCTTACTGCTACTTCATTCTTAGTGTATAGAAATATGATGGATTGGGCGCCTGGGTGGCTCAGTTGGTTACGCGACTGCCTTCGGCTCAGGTCATGATCCTGGAGTCCCGGGATCGAGTCCCACATCAGGCTCCCTGCTCAGCAGGGAGTCTGCTCCTCCCTCTGACCCTCTTCCCTCTTGTGCTCTCTATCTCTCATTCTCTCTCTCTCAAATAAATAAATAAAATTAAAAAAAAAAGAAATACAATGGATTTCTGTATATTGATTTTATATCATACAACCTTACTGAATTCCTTTATCAGTTCTAGTAGTTTTTTGGTGGAGTCTTTATGATTTTTTATGTATAGTATCATGTCATTCTGCAGATATCCTTACCAATTTGGATATCTTTTATTCCTTTTTTCTTGTCTAATTACTGTGGCTAGGACTTCCAGTACTATATTGAATAAAAGTGGTGAGAGTAGACATCCTTGTCTTGTTTGACCATAGAGGAAAAGGTCTCAGTTTTTCTGCATTTAGGATGGTATTATCTGTGGGTTTTTTCATATATGGCCTTTATTATGTTGAGGTATGTTCCCTCTAAACCTACTTTGTTGAGAGTCTTTATCATGAATGGATGTTGTACTTTGTCAAATGATTTTTTGTGTGTTTATTGATATGACCATGTGGTTTTTATCCTTTCTCTTGTTGAGGTGATGTATCATGTTGAATGATTTGCAAATATTGAACCACCGTTGCATCCTGGGAATAAATCCCACTTGATCATGGTGAATGATTTTTTTTAGTGTCTTGTTGGATTCAGTTTGCTAATACTTTGTTGAGGATTTTTGCATATATGTTCACCAGAGATATTGACCTACAGTTCTCTTCTTTTGTAGTATCTTTCTGTGGTTTTGTTATCAGGGTAATGCTGGCCTCATACTATGAATTTAGAAGCTTTCTTTCCTCTTCAATTTTTTTGAATAGCTTGAAGAACAGGTATTAACTCTTCTTTAAATGTTTGGTAGAATTCCCTGTGAAGCCATCTGGTCCTGGACTTTTGGTTTTTGGGAGGTTTTTGATTGCTGATTCAACTTCATTGCTGATAGTCTGATCAAAGTTTCTATTTCTCCCTGATTCAGTTTTGGGAGGTTATAAGTTTTGAGGAATTTATGCATTTCTCCTAGGTTGTCCAATTTGTTAGCATATAATTTTTCATAATATTCTCTTATAATCCTTTGTATTTCTGTGATGTCAGTTGTATTTCTCCTCTTTCATTTGTTATTTTGTTTATTTGAACCGTCTTGTTTTTTTTTTTTTTTCAGATGACTCTGGTCAAAAGTTTATCAATTTTGTTGATCTTTTCAAAGAACCATCTCCTGGTTTCATTGATCTGTACTATTGTTTTTTTAGTTTCTATTTTGTTTGTTTCTGTTCTGATTTTTATTATTTCCTTTCTTCTAGTTTTGAGTTTTGTTTGTTCTTTTTCTAGTTCCTTTAGTTGTAAAGTTAAGTTGTTTGAGATTTTTCTTCTTTGTTGAGGTAGGCCTGTATTGCTATAAACTTCCTCTTAGAACCACTTTTGCTGCATCCCAAAGATTTTGGACCATTGTGTTTTCATTTTCATTATAATGAGTACTGGGTATTATATAAGACTGATGAATAACTGACCTCTACCTCTGAAACCAGTAATACATTATATGTTAATTGAATTTAAATAAAAATAAATAAATTTAAAAACCAAAAAACCCCACAAAGAGTCCCCTTTAACATTTCTTGTAGGGTTGGTTTAGTGGTTGTGAACTCCTTTAACTTTCATTTGTCTGAGAAACTCTTTATCTCTCCCTCTGTTCTGACTGAGAGCCTGGCTGGATAGAATATTCTTGGTTGCAGGTTTTTCCTTTCAGCACTTTGAATTGATCATGCCGCTCTCTTCTGGCCTGCAAAGTTTCTGCTTAAAAATCAGCTGATAGCCTGATGGGGTTTCCCTTGTATGCAACTGTTTTCCTTCCTCTTGCTGCATCTAAAATTCTCTTGATCACTGCTTTTTGCCATTTTAATTATGTGTCTTGGTGCCGACCTCCTTGGGTTGATTTTGGGTGGGGGGGCTCTCTGTACCTCTTGGATCTGGATTTCTGTTTCCTTTCCCCAGATTCAGGAAATTTTCAGCTGTTATTTCTTCAAATAAATGTTCCACCCCCTTTTCTCTCTGTTCTCCTTCTGGAATCACTATCATGTGACTGTTATTATGCTTGATGGTGTCCCTGAGTTCTCTTAACCTGTTCTCATTTTTTATTACTCTTTTTTTCTTTGTCTTGTCCAGCTTGATGGCTTTTGATTACATGTCTTCCAGGTCACTGATCTGTTCTTCTTCCTCTAATCTATTTATACCCTCTGGTGTATTTTTAATTTCAGTTATTGAGTTCTTCATTCTGACTGGTTCTTTTTTATGTTTTCTATCTTTGTTGAGGGTCTCGCTGAGGTCTCCACTCTTTTCTCAAGTCCAGTGAGTATCTTTATGAGCATTACTTTAAATTCTTTATCAGACATATTACTTATCTCCGTTTCACTTAGGTCTCCTGCTCTGATTTTGTTCTGTTCTTTGATTTGGGACACATTCCTCTGTCTCCTCATTCTGTCTCTTGCATTGTCTGTTTTTCTGTGTTAGGAAAGTCAGCTACGTCTCCTGCACTTGAAAGTAGTGGCTCTATGAAGAAGAGGTCCTGCAGTGCAATGTCTGTTCCCCAGAACCTGGTGCTTCAGGGGGTGTCTCCTATGTGTGTGTCCTACCTTGTGGCTGGGATGTGTTTGCCTTCAGTCCTGTTGTCTGCGATGGCTCCCTGCCTGTTGTGGGCAGAGTCTGGTGCCCGTGGTGTTAGGGGGCTACCTCGGGCTTGAGTCAAGTCAGACCAGGCATTTGCCAGAGATGCAGTAGCACCAAACTGCAGGCACTGTCCCTGTGTCGTCCCCGGAGAAGCTTTTGTTGGTGGGTGGAGCCTGCAGTCAGACCAGCTGCCTGCTGCTGGGGTCACAGTCAGACGGGTGTGTGGTTATCTTCCCCTCTCCCTGGGGCAGGACTCACTCTGGAGTGGTGCTGACCTTGTCTGGGCCGCGCACACAACTGCCAGGCTTGTGGCACCACTTTGACGGGCTCCTTCTGAGGGCCCATTTGGGGTGGGGGGAGTGGATCTGCAACATGCGTGTGGGCAGGGGTGCAGGTCTGCTGTGAGAGGGGACCTGGAGCTGAGGTCGGGCTGGAGGGGGCGTGTCCACGCCAGAATGAGGGGGTTGCTGTGAGCAAGTTAGTTCCAGCCGGTGTCAGAGTATCTGTGCTAGGGGAGGGAAATGGAACCTGCCAGCTCCTTTGTTTCTGGAGAAGTCTCCCACTGATCTCTGTCCCTCCAACACAGGTTCTGAGATGAGTAAATACCTCTTTACCGTGTGCCCCAGGCGTTTTGCAAACTGCAGCTTCTGTGCTGTATCTCTGTGGAGCTGTTTGTCATGCAGTCTGTTTAACGGTGGGGACTCCGTTTCCTCTCTCCCTCCCAGCTCTCCCAGAGCTGAGCCTCTGATGTTTAAAATTCCAGGTTTTAAGTCCTGCTGGTTGTAAGAACTCGCAAAATCTGACCCATCTCATTTTCAAAGCCAAATGTTAGGAGGCTTCATCTGCCCCCCACCGGCTTCCTGTGAGAGGGTCTGTTTCTCCCCTCCCCACCCCCCATCTGGGCTTGTGGGTGTGTCTCTTCTACCAACAGACCCACAAGTCTACTTAGCTCCCCACCACCTCTCTGCCTTTCCTCTCTTCTTTGGTGCGGCCTCTTTTCTGCGTTTAATTGTGGGGTTTGTTCTGCTAGTCTTCAGGTCATTTTCAGAGTTATTTATACTGATGTGGGTGTTATCTAGGTTTACCTGGGGGACAAAGTGAGCTCAGGGTCCTCCTACTCCACCATTGTCCCCAGAAGTCCTCGTTTGATGATTTTATAAATTATTCCATATATTTAAACATTGCCAAAACATTTGTCAGCTAGACATACGTATTTTAAAATACCGGGTTTTAATATCTGAGATTCGTGGTGAATATATTCACTTCACTTCATAAACCAAGATCTCTCTCTGGGTTTTTCTATCTTTTCCTTGTTGAACACAAATCACAGTGGTTGTGATGACTCCTCCAGAATATCCACATATGGTTGTTACAGCCTATAGAAAGTTCTCTGCCCAGGAAGACCCTCTGCTATATGAATCCATGATCTGGTTAATAATAGCAAGTTTACTGAGTAAAGATGGAGATAAGCCCTCTAATTATTTCTAGCGTATCTTTGGACTATTACTAAGCATCATTACCAACCAGTAATTTTCCATTTATTCACATACTGAGCACCTGCTTTATACCAGGTACATAGCACATGCTGGGACTCCCAAGATTATTCCCTACTATTACAGAACTCAAGATCTATTATAGGAACCAAAGTAGAGAGATACTAGCATGTGATGTATGCTGTGATAGTTCGGGTGGTATGGTCACATGAAAGAAGAGAGACTAACCCAGCCTGGGAGAAGTGATCCTTCAGCTGGGTTTTGGAAGAATGTGTGAGTTAGGCAGGTAAAAGGGTCACTCTGTGTGGGTAGCTGGGTGGGAAGAGCGTCCTAGGCAAGGGGGAAGTTCAGATCTGGAACAATGAACAAGTGTGGCATGTTCTGGAGACATAAACAAGATGGTACTGATGGAACCTAGTTTGCAAATGGCTCAGTGATGAGATTCCCCAGGGAGGCAGGGCCAGATGATGAAGGGCCTTGAATATCATAATGAAGGATTTTGAGCAGGAGAGTGAAATGATTCGATTTAGAAATGTCTCCCTAGAAGAGAGCATAGAGTTATGTGTACAAGGGGGGGTGGTCAGTGAGAATGGATGAAAAGAACCGCGTTACAAGACTAGAAATCCTGGGGGACTAAGGTAAGACAATGGTAGGGACTAAGGAAGGTGGATCCAGGAGCTTCAGACGGGCACGAGGAGAGAGGAAGGAGGTCCAGGCTTGTGCGAAGATCTCTGGTTTGGGCACCCAAGTGTGAGGAGATCCCAGTGCAGGGAGAGGAAGGAGGACGGAGAGGCTTGTGTAGAAACAAGGACGTTTGGGACATGTTGAAAATCTAACACTTATAGGACAGCCAAATGAACATCTGCAATCAGCACTTGGGTATATAGACCTGGGGCAGGGAGAAGTGACAGGAGCCACAGAGCCAGCAGCCCAGGAAGGGCAAGACAGGCGGAGGAGGGATGGGCTGTGCGCCATGTCGGCATTCAAGTGGGGACCACGAGGGATCCTGAAAGCAAATGGTAAGAAGTGGCCGAGGAATGAAGAAAAACAGGAGAGTGACTTCCCAGGCAGAATGAGGGGCAGAGCCAACCGTCAGATGCAGCAGCGGGGCCGCACGGCAGGACCCGGGGATGGCTGAGAGATGAGTAAGCAAAGACCCTGAGTTGGTAGATGATCTTTTCTTTTTTTTTTTTAAATTTTTTATTATGTTATGTTGATCACCATACATTATATCATTAGTTTTTGCTGTAGTGTTCCATGATTCATTCTTCGCATATAACATGCTTCATGCAGAACGTGCCTCTTTAATACCCATCACCAGGCTAACCCATCCCCCCACCCCCCTCCCCTCTAGAACCCTCAGTTTGTTTTTCAGAGTCCATCGTCTCTCATGGTTCGTTTCCCCTTCCATTTACTCCCCTTCATTCTTCCCCTCCTGCTATCTTCTTCTTTTTTTTCTTAATATATATTGCATTATTTGTTTCAGAGGTACAGATCTGTGATTCAACAGTCTTGCACAATTCACAGCGCTCACCATAGCACATACCCTCCCCAATGTCTATCACCCAGCCACCCCATCCCCCCCACCCCCCCCACCACTCCAGCAACCCTCAGTCTGTTTCCTGAGATTAAGAATTCCTCATATCAGTGAGGTCATATGATACATGTCTTTCTCTGATTGACTTATTTCACTCAGCATAACACCCTCCAGTTCCATCCACGTCGTTGCAAATGGCAAGATCTCATTCCTTTTGATGGCTGCATAATATTCCATTGTGTATATATACCACATCTTCTTTATCCCTTCATCTGTCGATGGACATCTTGGCTCTTTCCACAGTTTGGCTATGGTGGACATTGCTGCTCTAAACATTGCGGTGCACGTACCCCTTCGGATCCCTATATTTGTATCTTTGTGGTAAATACCCAGTAGTGCAATTGCTGGATCGTACGGTAGCTCTATTTTCAACTTTTTGGGGAACCTCCATACTGTTTTCCAGAGTGGCTGCACCAGCTTGCATTCCCACCAACAGTGTAGGAGGGTTCCCCTTTCTCCGCATCCCCGCCAACATCTGTCATTTCCTGACTTGTTAATTTTAGCCATTCTGACTGGTGTGAGGTGGTATCTCATTGAGGTTTTGATTTGGATTTCCCTGATGCCAAGCGATGTTGAGAACTTTTTCATGTGTCTGTTGGCCATTTGGATGTCTTCACTGGAAAAATGTCTGTTCATGAATAGACGATCCACTGTGACCTAGGAGGGGAGGCGGGCAAGTAGACAGTAGCTACAGAAAAACAAAGTGCAAGAGGGGGCTGCTTACGAATATTTTTAATGAGAGAGAGGTAAAAGGGAGCCTGTTGCAAAGGAGAGCTTGCAAGTGTAGGAGAGTGATCAGTGACACAAGGCTTGCCTGGGATGTGGAAACGGGCGTTTCCTTCTCTGGAGAAGGGGGAGTGGAGTGAAGACAGGTGTGAGTGCAGCTAAGCGGCGGGCAGGGCTGGGGCTGGAGGGGCTGTGTACAGAGCAGCAGAGACGTGAGGTGACGACCTATTCCCTGAGGACTGGAAACAAGCAGAAAGGTGGGGGCGTGGGAAGTCAGTGCTGGTGATCCCACGTACAGCGGGGTGTCTGCGTGCGTGTGTGTTTACGGGTGGGGTTTTTTGGGTTTTACTTTCATTTGTTTTCGTTGTCTTTATTAAAAATTAATTTAGCAATTTAAGAATCAATTAAGCACGGGCTCTTCGTTTTACTCCTGCTACTATGTATGCTGCAATTTAAATATCATGCTTTTTGTGTGCAAATGTAGGCCCAAATGAGGCTGTGATCCTATCATGATTAAACATACATTATGAACTGCAATTTCTTTTGGTTCTGGACAGGACTACCTTGAAATTAAAAGAATGATTTTCCCAAGATTTTACTTTCTTAGCAATGCTGAACTTCTTGATATTCTAGCTGATAGCAGAAATCCTGAGTCTGTACAGGTAATATTATTATTCTCTACTCAGTGACATTATTTCCCAACCAGGTAAGAATTTTATAGTGTTATTGACACTTGTCTCTGGTCCACAGCCTCATCTTGTGAAGTGTTTTGAAAATATAAAACAATTACTGATATGGAAACAAGAAATCGGTCCTCCTGCTGTGATAATGCTCATATCTGCTGAGGGGGAAACTCTTCTGTTGCCCAAGTAGGACATATGTGTTATGAATTAAGCGTTCAGACTCTATAAAACTTCACTATTTAAAACCTCTGTTTGGAAATTTCTGATATTTCGTAGAAGTTTGCTAAGCAAATGATTTCTTCAAAGATATGTACTTATGCAGATTTTTACTTTTCCATGTCTATATTCATTGGTATTATCCTGAATGCCAAAACGGGATTTTATTATAGGCACTTACGAAGGAAATTTACTATTTGTTTGGTGTTGTTAATGCTGCCCCCTGGCCCCTGACCCCCGGCCCTTCTGGCTGTGAACAGCTCCAGGCCAGTGTCAACAACTGGGTCCTGCCACCACACTGGTCCAGTTTGCCCGCCAGCCTGTGGCATGTGGCTCCTGATGGGAGTTGATGAAAACATGCTACGTCCAAGGGTTCCCATCCACAAGAGTCCCTAACCCAACCCTGACCTCGGCTGGCTGTTTAAAGAGCTTTGTGATATAACTTACCTACTTCGTCAGTTCATGTTTTACTGGAACCTCTTAATTGTGTAAATCCATGGTTTCGATGTCAGAATTCCCTAAAGTTAGGTGATATGTTGTCTGCGTAGCTTTCCAAATTGAGATCTAGAAAAAACAAAATTAGAGAATTATGGTCCTTTGGCCTGTGAATGGTGTAAGTGTAGAAAAGTTAGTCTACAGCCTTATCAAAGGAGTGAAACATGAATAAAAATTGTTTGCAAATTATTTTTGAAAAAATTGTAGGAAAATTCGTGTAAGAAGTGCTGTGGAACAGTGGCTGGTGAATGTAGAGAAGAGCATGTTTGATGTGCTGAAAAAGTGAGTACAATTTTTAACCCTAAGATTACATTATATATATTTAAGCTTGGTTAATTATCTGCTAATCCAAGTGGGAAGTATCTGCAGAGATGTATGGAGTAAAGTGTTTCATGAAATGGGTTTTGATAGAACATGACAGCACATGGCTGAAGGGAAAATAAGCATTTTTTACAGTGTGAATATCAGTTGGAAAGCATGATCAGGGAGTGCATTCGGGCGGGTTCTATGTGCTTGGGACTCATGCGTATCTGCAAACTGGCCAGGAGCTGGACTCGCGGCGGCACATTGCTGCCTGCTTTCTGAGGACCCCGTGTGCAGCAGGCTCGGTTTGCAGCCCACCCCACTTCTGCTTCCTCGCAGTGCTTGCTTGGTTCAGTCCTTGTAATGTTCTCCTTTGTAACTTCCAGTCCATTTAGAGTGAAGAAAGAGCCTCAGAGCATGAACTTTTCAACGAATTTCCTAGAGCCGTCTTGTGCGTTTCTAATTATTTGTGGTTGGTTATAGAAAGGCTGTTTATTGGTCTTGGGGTTTTAATATCTATATATATGAATATGATCCTGAATGCCAACACAAGACTTCTAGAGCAGAGCAGATTATTACTTACTTCCATAAATAACCAGGATGACTTTCCTTGGCTCCAATTCTTCCCTGGGGTGATGTGATGAGAGCCAGATGTCTACGTGTGAGGGCAAGGAACCCCGAAAAATGCATCTTGGACACTTGAGGGACAAACCGATTTTCACTTGTTGCACTGGGACTTTTGTCAGACAATCTTATCGTTTATTATTAATGATAGTTCCTTCTCTTTTTTTACAGTCCTTTTAGAAATGTCTCTTCCTCTTCCTGTTATTTAGGATGACAACTTTTCTGCAGTGTTGAAAAATACAGATGACAGTGAGCATCCTTCTTTGGTTCCTAATTTTACTGGGAATATTTCTAACGTTTCATCGTTTGTTATGATGCTTGGATTTCTGGAATACACCCCTCATCAAAGTAAAGAGTTTTATTCTATTCCTTGTGTGCAAAGTTTTTAATAATTAAAGGATGTCTCATTTGTTCAAAGTTTTTTTAATGAATCTGTCAAGAAACACAAATACTCTTTTGCCTTTAATTTGTGGTTGTCATGAATTGCCTTATGTTGAACTTCCTTTGATTTTCCTGTTCATTTTTTGGTCCACTTACTTTATTTTCTAGAAAACTGTATTAAACATTTCCTCCTTTTCTGTGGGTTTGTCCTTACCTTTTTTTTTATTTCTAGCATTTATTTCTAATAAATAACTGTGTCACCAGCCCTGTTGGCTCCCTTGACCTTGCCCCCATGTCTGCAAAGAGTCCTTTCATTGAACTCTCGAGGTACCCTTTGCATGCATGTGCCTTCCTCCTTCACTGCTCCCCATCCCATTGTATGTCTTCCAATCACCAGGCTTTTGGTCTGGGGGGTTTCACTTACTGTTGTTATATTGAGTTTCTTCATGTCTTTTGGGGCAGCCATGCCAAAGTCATCAGCAGTTCCTTTTATCTAGTGAATACTCTTTAAATGTTAATGTACAAAGTGAAACATATTTTTATCAAAGCCTACAGTAAATATCTCTGATTTGTCCGCAGTGAGCATGGATCACTTCATAATACCCTTCCATCACCACCTCCTTGTTGTAATCATGCAGGATTTTATTCCAAATGGCGCTAGTTCTCAGTTTATGGATTAGTAATTATCTAGTCTTAGTAAGGTTCTTGGTTTGTTTTGTTTTTGTTCATTACTGATTCATAGATCTCATGTTTTAGAATTTGTTTTCCTTGTGCTATATATATTTTCAAGTAATTTTTTCCTGAAAACATCTGTGAGTGGCAAATATTTTTATTTTTCCCTCTTGCAGGTTAGCTGAATGGAATTAATTTTAAGTTCAAATCCAATTTGTTGAATGCTAGCTCCCCAAAATGTGACCCAAACAATGTGTTGATTAGACAGAGCTGAGTGTGTGGGGTAAAGGAGAAGCCCTACTGAGACCCCCCAGAGCGCCCAGGCAAGGAAGGGTTAAACTGGGATGTGTGTCCTGTTGCAGTCTGGTTTCAGGCAGGCCTTGCGGTGTGGGGCTTGATTACAGCTGGGTAGAGATCAGGGGACAGCCGTTTGGGATTGGAGGACACAGAGCAGGGGCTGCCCTTTGAGGCTGGGTTTTGGAAAAAGCAGCATTTTTGTTTTCACACGTGACAGAATGACGAGGTATTATCTTCATCACACATTCAATTTGGCAAAACAGCATCTTCTACGTGGAACCTTTCCTGAGCTTTTGAGTACATAGTTGCACTATTCCCTTTGGGGAAATGATTTCTCTTTCATCAAATATCGCAGGGCCTGGCAGTGTTTGATCTCACCAGAGCATGTTCACACGGCACACGCCTTGCTGGTGGAGCGATTATCAGATGCCAGAGATGCCCCCTGATCTCCAAGAGCTTCAGCCGGTGTTAGAACCGGTAAAGGAGCGGTCTGTGGCTGCGTGAGGTTTGTTAACACTGCTTTCCCAGGTTCCTGCTTCCGTTGGTTGTCCGTTCACAGTCAGACCGGCGAGCCCCTCTCCCTCTCCCAGCAGGTGCTCCTGGGAATCACAGCGGCCCCCTGTGCGTACGGCTGCGGGTCGCAGGATGGATGCGCAACCCCAGGCTGGGAGTGGCGCACCTTCCAGTGCATGGACGTTCCTTTCCATTTCTCCTGGACGCTGCAAACTGCCTTTGTCACTTCCCCGGCGCACGGGTTCCAGCGCTGTTTCAGATACACCGGCCACGTCTTATGGGAACATGCCAGGGTCCATGAACTTTGGTTCCTTTCTTCCCCTCTCTCCACTTCCTCCCTTCCTCCCTGTGCTTCCCATGACTGCAGGCCCTACTCTGCTTCTCTCTCCAGCCTCATTGGCCCTCAGAGATTTCCATTCACGGTGGCCACCAGCCGCTGAGTAGGGGGCGGGGGGTGTGGGAACAGGCAGAGGCCACTGCAGTCCCTACTTAGAAAGCTCTCTCCTCATCGTCCTGAAGAGCCAACCCCGCCTCCCTCTTGGGTTTGTCAAACTTGGCAGGAGTGTTCTTTGGTGGCTCTGCTCTTCTTTCTGTCATTCAATCCAACTTTTCAAGTTGTGTATGCCCTGGAGCACACTTTCTTGTGTTCCAGGGTTTTCTATGTGTGTGCATGTACATATGTGTGTATGTAGAATATATATGACATAGGTATTATTATATAGTATTCATATATTATCTGTCATTTGAAGGAATATGGTTCATGATGAAGACAGGATTATTAAGTCAAAAATCTTGACCACTGTCTCCCAAGAGGCTATAAAAAATCAGAATAAATATTTCCAAAACCCTGGAGGAAATAAAATATAGTGTGCTCTGTGTGTGTATTTATATAAATATAAACACGGGGAAAGTGTCAAAATAGAAGTAAGATCTTAATTAAAAGAAGATTTTGTCAAAAGAAAAATGGAACTACATGTTATTTGAGAGATAAAGCAATGCTACACAAAGTTGTGAATAAAAGCAGGAAAGACAGGTCACGTAACAGCAAGCAAAAAGAAAACAAAGACATAAAATAAAAGGTTTTAATTAATGAAACATGCATTTGCCACTGATGTTGTTTTGAAATATATAGAAAGTTGTTATAAACCTATTTCTCCTCAGTGGCAGTGATAAGAAGAAAATAATAAGAACAGACACCATTTGCAATTATAGCAAAATTTAGAAGAACCAATATTCATTTTAAAAATAAATTAAATTCAGGGGCGCCTGGGTGGCTCAGATGGTTAAGTGTCTGCCTTTGGCTCAGGTCATGATCCCAGGGTCCTGGGATCGAGTCCTGCATTGGGCTCCCTGCTCAGCGGGGAGCCTGCTTCTCCCTCTGCTTCTCTCTCTCTCTCTGTCTCTCATGAATAAATAAATAAAATCTTAAAAAAAAAAAGTTAAAAGAAAAAGTA